TGTGTGTGGAGAAGTGTGTGTGTGTGTGTGGAGAAGTGTGTGTGTGGAGAAGCGTGTGTGTGGAGAAGTGTGTGTGTGTGTGGAGAAGTGTGTGTGTGTGTGTGAGAAGTGTGTGTGTGTGGAGAGAAGTGTGTGTGTGTGAGAAGTGTGTGTGTGTGTGTGTGAGAAGTGTGTGTGAGTGTGGAGAAGTGTGTGTGGAGAAGTGTGTGTGTGGAGAACGTGTGTGCAGAGAAGTGTGTGTGAGTGTGGAAAAGTGTGTGTGAGTGTGGAGAAGTGTGTGTGTGTGGAGAAGTGTGTGTGTGGAGAAGTGTGTGTGTGGAAACGTGTGTGCAGAGAAGTGTGTGTGTGTGGAGAAGTGTGTGTGTGTGTGTGTGTGGAGAAGTGTGTGTGTGTGTGTGTGTGAGAGTGTGTGTGTGTGTGTGTGAGAAGTGTGTGTGTGTGGAGAACGTGTGTGCAGAGAAGTGTGTGTGTGTGTGTGTGTGTAGAAGTGTGTGTGGAGAAGTGTGGAGAAGTGTGTGTGTGTGTGTGTGTAGAAGTGTGTGTGTGTGTGTGTGAGAAGTGTGTGTGTGTGTGTAGAAGTGTGAAGTGTGTGTGTGTGTGTGGAGAAGTGTGTGTGTGTGGAGAAGTGTGTGTGGAGAAGTGTGTGTGTGTGTGTGTGGAGAAGTGTGTGTGTGTGTGTGTGTAGAAGTGTGTGTGGAGAAGTGTGTGTGTGTGTGTGTAGAAGTGTGTGTGTGTGTGTAGAAGTGTGTGTGTGTGAGAAGTGTGTGTGTGTGTGTGTGTGTGAGAAGTGTGTGTGTGTGTGTGGAGAAGTGTGTGTGTGTGTGAGAAGTGTGTGTGTGTGTGTGTGGAGAAGTGTGTGTGTGTGTGTGTGGAGAAGTGTGTGTGTGGAGAAGTGTGTGTGACCTGCTGCTTGTGGTGCTCAGGGTTTGAGGACAGTGGGCACGTCTGCGCTGACCGCTCTGCTGCTCGCCACGCTGGTGTCACACTGCTGCAGCGCACCAAAGGTACAAATACACAAGTACTACTACACTAAATACTACACACAAATTAATATTATTATATGTGTGTGTTTTAGGTTTAAATCTTATGTGTCTTGAAGTAGATGAAAAGAGCTTAAAGAGCTAAATGTGTCTTGCTCAACTACAGATCTGTTGTATTAGGCAGCTGCTGAGGTCAAAATAAATCCACTGTGTACTCATGTGTCTGCATCTCATGTGTCTGCATCTCATGTGTCTACATGTGTCTTATAATCTGATAATCAGGGAGTGTGTGTTAACATGCTAATTGTTGTTTTTCTATAATGGCAAAACACCACTCTGGCCTCTGAGAGTGAAACATGCTTCTAAACTCGTCATGGTGAATGATTAGGAAGCTCTGAATAGGCGAGTTTCAGCTGACGTCACTGTTATTAAAAGCCCGCGTTGCATGCTGGGTCGGAGGCAAGAAACACGGTAGCATCAAACACAGTGCGTAACCTCGTGTATTTATCCCCGATAATGGTAAATTCCTGCTGCATTATCGGATGCACAAATAGAAGCACGGAAGAAGGAAAATGTCTTTTTCATATTCTGAGTGAAAAGAACCACTTACGGTGAATTAAACGACTTTCAAACATCCGCAGAGCAAACGTAGAAGATCCTAACAAACCGTGGACTCCAACAAGTTCAACAACACATCCAGACTCTTGGAGGTTTTCATCTTTTCTGCTGTGAATGGCCCAGGAGTTTCCACCAAGTCATTGTGGATATCACCAAAGTGAATATTTGTCCAGGCGATTCTGACTAGAAATTTGGTTTGGTCCACCTTTTGTCGGGGTTGAAAAGGGTGATTTGTCGTCCGTCGATGCTTATGACCAATTTCTGGTCAAATGGTCTTGGGTCCTCTGCCGTTAGAGTGGATAAATAACCAGGATCAATACCCTTTACGAACTTTCTCACTCCGTCCGTCATGTTGAATTAGTGTTTCTTGCCACCGACCAAAATAATTCCCAGCATGCAACGCGCACTTTTGTCAACAATGAAACTCACCTATACATAAGGAGGAATAACTTTGAATCACTAGTTCTGTTTTTCCTGTTTTTCAGACATAAAAAAATCAGAGACAGCATCTTTAATGCATGTGTTCAGAGACAACGCACTTGAGTGAGGAAAGACTCATAATATTTGTGTGTTTTGTTCACAGAATTTTCAGAGAAGGAACTGGACCCCACAGGCCATGCTCTACCTCAAAGGCACCCGTACGTCTCTTACACATTCACTTAGAATTCACACAAACATTTATAGAAGACATATACTGCTTGTGTTTGCTTTACTCTTATACTCTGTGACACACATGGATCATTATGTTATCATTTAGTTATTTTAAATCGTAACATTCATCTAAAATAAAAGAAAGAAACGCTGTAAATATCATGACAACAAAGCGCGGCAGGCTGTGGGTCCTCCTGTGGACAGCTGCACGTCACACCACTGAGGCAGCACACGGTTAGATTTAGGCATTTTTGATCAGAAAGCTGCAAATGACTAGCAACACTAAATGATTCGCAGAGTTAGTGTTTAGTTCCATTTTGTTGTTTCGTGATTTTTGGTCACATCTGCACACTGGTCTAGTCCTAAAGGAGACCACGTGAAAGTGCCCAGACTGAATGATAAAACTGTCCCACATATCCCCCCCGTGTTTGTCCACAGAGGGGCGCCGCTTTGTGTCAGAGGACCATAAAGAAGGAGATGTGTACGACACACTGCATTTAGGTGAGATGTTGCTCTCTTATTCAGGCCTGTCCCACTGACACAAACACTACAGATTATTGAGTAACGATATCCAAACCTCTCATTACAATATTTTCACATATGTATTTCACAGTACCACATTTATTGCAGTATTTTGTATGGACAATTTTCCGTGTTCAGTAGAGCTTTGGCAGGTAGGTACTCTTCGGTGCAGGAACCATTCTCACTTATTGCTTTATTTTCCACTATTAAAAGGAAAAAGGGGACTATGTGTTATTGAAGTTTTCAGCTTGTCCAAGAAAGGGTGGAAGTAAAAGACTGGAGATCGACTGGATGTCTTACGCAGGAGAAGTTTATTTACCATCTCTATTATTTACCAATAATACGGCCCGGGGGGACATGAAAAGTCAACTTAGGCTCCGTTCAGACTGCAGGACTTAACGCTCAATTCCGATTTTTTGGTGAAATCCGATGTTTTTGCGAGGTCGTTCACATTTCCAATTAAATGCGACTTGTATGTGAACTACAGTGTGAACATTAAACGGCCCGAAAGTGTCCCGCATGTGCACTGGAGACACGATGACGTCAACCGCAGCGAGCGTGCTCTGTGTTTACGGAAGTTGTCTAAACATGAACGCAGCATTGAGCACCTGGAGATTTTAAAGTTCCTCTCGTACCGGAGCCAGAACATGAACAACTTACTTGTTTTAAGGAGGAGATTGAGAAGGAGAAGGACGAGGTTTTTGGTCGTGGTGTTTTGTGGGCCGCGGCAGCGACGTCCACTGAAAGGAACGTGTGGATGTGGAGACGGAGCCAAGAGTGGTGAGTGGTGATGTGCTTCACTTCAGTGACACAGAGTTCATTAACAATTTTCTCCTACTTCAGTGCAGAATAGTGACGTTTGTGTCTTGTTGATAACGTGTAGGTGGATGAATGCACTTTGGCCGTTCACACTGAAGTCACATGTCAAAAGATCAGATATGTATCAGTTTCAGGAGCACATATCCAAGTGTCCTGGGTCACATTTGAAAAAATCGGATCTGTGTCGTTCAGACTGTCATTAAAAGATCAGATACAGGAACATAGAAGCCAAAAAATTGGATTTGGGTCACTTCAGGCTGCAGTCTGAACGCAGCCTTAGTGTGATTTCAAAAGAGAACATAGTTTGATCTTTGACTGTTCAAGTCTCTTTACCCTACTTCCAGAAGAGGAGGTTTATAAAGCAAGTGGTGAGACTGTGAAGGCCAGTACGACCCAGTTAGTCAGAAATATGCCACAATTCAGATAATGGTGCCAATGGTGTGCCAAGGGGAGATCATGATGTAAATCTAGTTTTTGTGTGTCAGTGTTAAACTGAGATGTACGTGGAAGAGAAATTACTTAAATTCTCTTACACTATGTACATTTCACAGAATGGCATAAAACTTTGCAGTGTCCATGGAGACAAGCATGAGACTGTATTTTTGACAGTACTGATAAATTGATTTTAAAAAAAATAATAATAATCATCTCATCTGTTGTAGTTCTAACTAAGTCAACTCTGGTTAGATTGTGTTAAAGTAAAGCTCAGATTGAAGTTTAATAGAGCTTCTGACAGAGTAGTGCCTGCAGTTAGCATCACACCCCCAAGAAATGTTCATGACATTAGCTGCAAAGTATCAATATACACATGTAAGTAAATGAAAGATTATACAAGTTTATACAAGTTTATACAGAACAGTGGAACATCCCGGGCAAAGCACAAATATTTTGAGGAGACGGGCAGGCGACAGACCCTCCACCAGAAAAGTGACATAGTACACCTTTAATATTACTCTATTCACCATTCATGAAATTGTTCCTCTAGGGGCAACGTTGACACACTTCTGCTTGTACTGACTTTGAAATAAAAGGTCCTAGTAAGAAGAGAGTAAAGAGAACCATCCATTCCACTAGAGGAAACCTTGAAGTAAAGATTGATCATAAAGGAAAATACTTCGATAATAATATCATTTAAGTAGTACCTGTAAACTGTGATCCTTTGAGACACTTCTTCACACATGTTGGAGTATGTGAGTAGAACTTCTTCACACATGTTGGAGTATGTGAGTAGAACTTCTTCACACATGTTGGAGTATGTGAGTAGAACTTCTTCCCACATGTTGGAGTATGTGAGTAGAACTTCTTCACACATGTTGGAGTATGTGAGTAGAACCTTCTTCACACATGTTGGAGTATGTAAGTAGAACTTTTCACACATGTTGGAGTATGTGAGTAGAACTTCTTCACACATGTTGGAGTATGTGAGTAGAACTTCTTCCCACATGTTGGAGTATGTGAGTACATGTTCTTCACACATGTTGGAGTTTGTGAGTAGAACTTCTTCCACATGTTGGAGTATGTGAGTACATGTTCTTCACACATGTTGGAGTATGTGAGTGCACATCATGGGAGTGTAACCTTTTGGCTTATGTGTCCTCTCTGTCCACGCTGGTGCGGCTCAGAAACTCGCAGTCAGAACACAGAGAAGCTGAGTGTGGATGAAGCTACCAGCCTCCTGCTCAACCTCCTGCAGCAGGCCCGCCAAGGAGGTGAGCCTACCCCACCACCCTGCGCCTCCACCCTATTTAACCATCATACTTCACTATCCTACCCCAATATCCCAACCCCACCCCCCTAACCACCATACCACCCTACTCATCCACCCTATCGCTCCACTCATCCACCCTATCCCCTCCACTCAGTCTTCTGCAGGAAGCCTCCAAGGAGTTGAGCTCCCACCACCCTACCCCCATTGCCCAACCCCACTGTCCAAAGTGGAGTAAGCGAGTATGACATCACCCATACCATTCAGCTCCATTCAAATGACGATCACAGAAGTTAGTAGTTATATCGCGAATCTGGGGCCGAGTTCCATATTAGGAATAGAAATTTATTTATGGACAAAATAGCTAAATTAAAACCCTGGGATCATGTAGAGTCGAACATTTGAAGAACATTTGAAGAGTTGATGGAGCCAGAAGCCCACGCTCATTTCCTATAGGAGGGTTTCAGTCACGTGATCACGATGATGCGCGAATTTCAGGTGGAGGGCAGGAAGTGAAGACAAACACGACAAACACAGCTCTGGAGAACACAGATATGGAGAAGAGTTCTTATTGTCAGGATTTAGGCAAAAGTACGAGCAGTTAGTTGACAAATATATTGCACGTGACCCCATCTTATTGAAAATGAGAGAATTTTCAACCGAAGTAAAAGATTTGCCGACAATCGAGGCAGAGGAGATCACGAACTATTTAGCTCTTCAGACATCGTTCTACACCAGACAACAGAAGAAGGCAAAGTACAAAAGTTTGGAGACATAGAACTTTTTTTGTGAGTGGATGGGTCCTCAACCTTGGTTCCAAACCCCTAAATGATGATTATGGTTTGGTCTTGGCCGGGGTGAGTGTTTGTCTTATTTTATGTGTATAGACGTTATGGGAAAAACTGCAGTGTATCAGCAGTGACCTCAATCTGAACTATTTAATGTCAACAAATGTCGTTAGTCGTTAGTCATTAATGATTTGTTTATGTTTAGGTAAACCACAAAAAACAATTTAGCTTTTTAACAAACCTTTGACGAAGTGTTCACTGCAGACACGAGCATTAGCAAATTCTGCTCCTCTCGACCACAAACAGGTTTGTGATCCACTTTTTACAGCGTTGTTCTGTCAGCTTTTCCCATTTCTGACCTTTGTGGACGACTATATTCGGTACTCTAAAAAAAACGTTTTTCCTTCTCTCGGTTAGAACAATTGGCACAGCCGTAAACTACACAACACATCAGTATTTTCCTCCAGTCAGTTCACTTCCTGCCCTCCATCTGATTTTGCGTGCTGACAAACGTAGCCCTGTGACGTCACGTGAAACCCAGCTATTAGAAGGTGGTGGCTAGTGGGTTAGCTATGTGCATTTAGTTACATATGTAGAGAGAGAGTCTAGGGCCTAACCACAACCCTAACCTACAACCACACCTCTCCACTCCACCTCACCACTGCACCCCTCCACCCTACCCCACTATTCTACCCTTCCGAAGCACACATACATGTACTACTAAAGCAGGCCTGTCAAGGAGGGGAGTCTAATCCACCATCCTCCCCGCTATACCATCCTATTATGAACCCAGGGCATAGGAGCACTCAAGCCTCAGATGGATTACATGCATGAATCATTTAAAAATATGCCTTTGTGTGTCTCTTCTCTGTCCTCTGTGTGCAGTGGAGGACATGCCCGCTGAGGTGTACCTGCAGGAGCTCCCCCTGTGGAAGAGACAGTACTTCTGACTGACATGTGGCCCGCCCCCTGCCCTGCCCCCTGCCCCGCCCCATGCCCCTTCACTCTGTAAATAGGACTCTGGATGTCATTTATGTCATTTTAATAAAGACTTGGAATTCATAGCATTCTTGTCTGTTTTTGTTTAATTAAACACACAAACAGTCTTCAGGAAATGTGATTAGATGACTAGAACTGCGTTAAAACTGTAAGCAGCCTGCTCTCTTACAGTTTTAGAAAGACGTTTTTACAATCATAACTGAATCTGTGTCACCAGAGCCTTCACCTGCAGATAGACACACATCCAAGTTTGTCTCATTCTCAGTTTATGTTCAGGTCTCATGTGAAGCTCAGAACCTCCAGAATTCCCTCCCTGAGCTGCAGAGGCTGCACTAGCACTGACTCAGGATGGTGCAGGTGCTGGGCTTTAGGGAGTGACCGTCAGATCAGAGACACATTTTAGTTTTAAACACACTGAATTTCACCATTGAAACTGGCAACCCCAATGAGAGGCTCATGTGATGCTCATTCTGATTGGATAATCATCCAAACTGCAACATAAACCATCAAATAACATCATGACCAATGTTTTTGTGATTAAGAATAAATCAGCTGTATAGTTGTTATCACCAAAAACTGTATTTGATTTGAACATGTTTACCTCATATCTGGGGACAAAGATAGGTCATGGATATGTCATTTAAATCTTCCATTAACAATCATATATCAGCATGTAATTCTCACTCTTCTGGAGAATACAGAGAAGAAAACACAGGCTTACAGGGAGGTCAGTTCACTGTTGAATTGAGTAAGCAGTCGCGTTGTTACAAAATGCCATGTATAGTGAGATGTACAAATACTGTTTCTATGGCTACACTCAAACGAAACAGAAAATGCACACCAAAGTTCTTGTAGAGGTGCAAGTGCAAGGAACAGTAAAATAAAAGTGAAAAAAATGTTTACTGTGGTCCAAGGCAAGAAAAATGATCTGACAAAGGCTTTTTTTCCCAAACGTTATTTAAAAATAATTTTAAAAAAAGCTTTTGGCCACTTTTATCTGTGGCTGAACATCAAAATATTTTTATTAAAATATTATCAATTTAGAATAAAGCTTGAGTTGCCACATAAGTTTTCGACCCATCTGATAATTTGTTCCAAAATGTAACATGTTGTAAATATGACGATTTTGACAAGAGGATCAGATCACTCTTATCTCCGTGTTTGGCAGAAAGATCAGAGGAGCTGCTTTTATTATTTTATTATTTATTCCCAACTGGTTTTACTCCACAAACCTTGACTCAACGTGTGAGACTCATTCTTTAAAGAGGGGTATTATGCACAAATGACTTTTTTGAGCTTTCTACTCTGTTATAATGTTTGCTCATCATTTTAGGTGTCATACATGCATGTTTGGGTAATCTAGTGATCTCTCCTGAGCCATTTTAAAACCTTCTTTATGGTTACAATTCTTTCGAAAGCTCAGCTCACAGGGCTACATCACACAAAGCTGATGCGATGTGCGGGAGTAAGAAACTTCTTAAACATGTTAATACATGGTTGTCTGTGAATATAACATTTTCAGAAGAATAAAAGGGAACAGAGTGATGTAAATCTGTGATTAGCAGTAGAAGTGATAATAGAAGTGTAATAGCGCCTCTTTAAATTCAGTCTCTTGGTGATTTCCTAAGCCAAGAGACTTTGAGTGAAACTTGTATGATGTGTGTTCATTGGTCACAGTGAAACCAAACCTTGTCCGTCATATACAAACAAAAACACGACAACGGTCAGGTCCCGGCCTGTGGTGAGCTGCTTCTGTGCTGTTAGGTGGAGGTACTGGTCAGTTGTCGGGCTCTGTGCTGTTGGATGGAGGTGAGGTGGTGTCAGTTGCCGGGCTCCGTGCTGTTGGATGGAGGAGAGGTGGAGGTCAGTTGTTGGGCTCCGTGCTGTTGGATGGAGGTGATGTCAGTTTCCGGCCTCTGTGCTGTTGGCTGGAGGTGAGGTGGAGGTTAGTTGCCGGGCTCCGTGCTGTTGGATGGAGGTGAGGTGGAGGTCAGTTGCCAGCTTCTCCATGCTGCTTCTTCTTCTTGCCATTGGACACAAACGGAGCCTTGATGTTTATGCGGTCCCTCTCTGCCTCCAGGTCTTCGTCGTAGGGCTCATCCTCTTCGTCGCTGTGGTGGGGGGTGGAGTGAAGGGAGGCAGAGGGGGACGGGGGTACAGAGTACGGCCTGGGGTACTGGAAGCCCTCTGCCTGTGGACACAAGGCAGTACAATATAAGAGGACTGAGGGGGTGTGATGTGGCTGGAGTTCGGTTGCGACCAAATGAAAGCCAATTGAGGAAATGAGGAGGACCATATTTGGAAATCTGTGGTTTGTGTTCTCACCTGTAGAGATGACATGGGGTCCAATTTGTACTGGTCTGGGAAGGCTCTGCTGAGGGCCAGGTGCCGGGCGTGGACGTAGAACTGAAGACACAACACCTCTGGTCACACAGGGCATACAGAGCTCACCACGCAAAACTGAACTCAGATACAATTAATAAAGGTTGATAGCGCCTGTTTTTGTAGTTTTTAAACCTGACAGATTATCAGACAAATACGGCTGTCAACATGATCTAAGCCGAAACCAAGACTAAACCAAGACTAAACCAAGACTAAACCAGCACTAAACCAAGACTAAACCAAGACTAAACCAGCACTAAACCAAGACTAAACCAGGAGGACTAAACCAAGACTAAACCAACACTAAACCAGCACTAAACCAAGACTAAACCAGGAGGACTAAACCAAGACTAAACCAAGACTAAACCAGGAGGACTAAACCAAGACTAAACCAAAACTAAACCAGCACTAAACCAAGAATAAACCAAGACTAAACCATCACTAAACCAAGACTAAACCAGCAGGACTCAACCAAGACTAAACCAGCAGGACTAAACCAAGACTAAACCAGGAGGACTAAACCAAGACTAAACCAAGACTAAACCAGGAGGACTAAACCAAGACTAAACCAGGACTAAACCAGCACTAAACAAGACTAAACCAACACTAAACCAGCATTAAACCAAGACTAAACCAGGACTAAACCAAGACTAAACCAAGACTAAACCAGCACTAAACAAGACTAAACCAAGACTAAACCAGCAGGACTAAACCAAGACTAAACCAGCACTAAACCAGGCCTGCACTATAACTGACCCGGCCCAGGTATCTCCAGTCGAGGAGCTCGGACAGGCGCTCGGTGCGGTTGCGTTGGATGATGCGTTGGCGGCGGGACTGTTGGCAGAAGCTGAACATGAACTGGGTCAGCTGGTTACACGAGTCGTCTGCAGAGCGGAACCTACGATCCACGATGTAGATCCCTGCAAAGACACGCTAAAAGTGTGAAAGGACTTCAACTGTCTCAGTGTCTTCATTTTGATAATAGAAATCTAATGTATACATTCTGTTTGTTTAGATTGATGTTCTGTATGTAGAGGCACATTGCCACAGCAACGTGCCTCTACAGCAACGATGGGACCAAGTCATTTTGAGAGTCTCAAGTAAGTCTCAAGTCTTTGACCTCAAGTCCGAGTCAAGTCCCAAGTCAAAGATGGACAAGTCTCAAGTCACTGGTTCATAAGTATAAGTCAAGTCCAAGTTGTGTGCTTTGAGCTTCAAGTCATTTCAAGTCTTTAAACCAAAAAAGTACCAAATGTAGCTTAGATTTTTTGCAATTTATATGAATTTTAAACTAAATTGTACTTAAAAAGTCATTGTATATTTATGCACATTTTCATTTTTAAATGTCTTGACAAGAGTGTAAATTATTATTGTCAAAATCAAAAGAATTCAGATTGAAAAGAGCTTAATATCAGTCATTTTGTCATGTAGTCTGCACTGAAATGGAAGGATCATGTTCTATTAGTTCCCTCTGTTTTACTGTATTGTACAGTATATTACTGTATTGTACTGTATATTACTGCTGTACATTTGAGGTACCATCTCACAGTACTTCAGTTACATCCAAAGTACCAAATAGAAGGGATGTTCCAGTTTATTCCTTTAAAATTAAGCAGTAGAAAAAGTCTTTTTTTAAAAAACACATTTTTAGGAGTATCAAATCTTCTTAAGTCACATTGCCCAAGTCGCTGACCTTCAAGTCCGAGTCAAGTCCAAAGTCTTAGTCCATTTTATCAAGTCAAGTCTAAAGTCCTAAAAAAAGTGACTCAAGTCTGACTTGAGTAAAAGTCACAACTTACAAGTCTCCACCTCTGGCTCACAGGGCTTTCAGTGTTGCTTCACAAAGAAAACATGGACAACTGGCAAATCATTTGGATTTTGCTCTGTCGGCTCTGGTGCTCTCACTCAGCTCAACGAGAGGGCTTCATTTGGGCCTTTCATGTCAGAACCGTGCAGTGCCACAGCTAGATCTTTCAATATTGTGGCACGGTGGCTCAGTGGCCGGAAATTCACACTTCACAGCAAGAAGGTTCTGGCTTTGATCACCTGGGCCTTTCTGTGTGGAGTTTGCATGTTCTTCTTGTGTCTGGGTGGCATTTTCATGTTCTCCTTGTGTCTACGTGCTGATGTCTACACTGATGTCTGTTTGGATAATAAGGGTAGGTGCAGGGCAGGTGCAGGGCAGACACTCACCATATGCAGAGGGGTCAGACACATGCTCCTCCATGAAACAGCCGAATCCTGACAGGTTAGTGGTGACACTGGGGATGCCCATGACCGTGCACTCACCTGAGGACACAGACACAGCGAGGAGGGACAGTGAGAAGGGACAGTAAAGAAGGACACTCAGATGTGTTCAGGTGTGTTCAGGTGTGTTCAGATGTGTTCAGGTGTGTTCAGGTGTGTTCAGATGTGTTCAGGTGTGTTCAGATGTGGTAAGGTGTGTTTAGATGTGTTCAGGTGTGTTCAGGTGTGTTCAGGTGTGTTCAGGTGTGTTCAGGTGTGTTCAGGTGTGTTCAGATGTGTTCAGGTGTGTTCAGGTGTGTTCAGGTGTGTTCAGATGTGTTCAGGTGTGTTCAGATGTGGTAAGGTGTGTTCAGATGTGTTCAGGTGTGTTCAGATGTGTTCAGGTGTGTTCAGTGTGTGTTCAGTGTGTTTTCAGATGTGTTCAGGTGTGTTCAGTGTGTCAGTGTGTCAGGTATGTTCAGATGTGTTCAGGTGTGTTCAGGTGTGTCAGGTGTGCTGTGTTCAGGTGTGTTCAGGTGTGTGTTCAGGTGTGTTCAGGTGTGTTCAGGTGTGTTCAGGTGTGTTCAGATGTGTGTTCAGGTGTGTGTTCAGATGTGTTCAGTGTGTTCAGGTGTGTGTGTCAGGGTGTGTTCAGATGTGTTCAGGTGTGGTTCAGGTATGTTTCAGATGTGTTCAGGTGTGTTCAGGTGTGTTCAGGTGTGTTCAGGTGTGTTCAGATGTGTTCAGATGTGTTCAGGTGTGTTCAGGTGTGGTTCAGATGTGTTCAGGTGTGGTCAGGTGTGTTCAGGTGTGTTCAGGTGTGTTCAGATGTGTTCAGGTGTGTTCAGGTGTGTTCAGGTGTGTTCAGATGTGGTCATGTGTGTTCAGGTGTGGTCAGGTGTGTTCAGATGTGGTAAGGTGTGTTCAGATGTGTTCAGGTGTGTTCAGGTGTGTTCAGGTGTGTTCAGATGTGTTCAGGTGTGGTCAGGTGTGGTCAGGTGTGTTCAGATGTGGTCATGTGTGTTCAGATGTGGTCAGGTGTGGTCATGTGTGTTCAGGTGTGGTCAGGTGTGTTCAGGTGTGTTCAGATGTGTTCAGATGTGTTCAGGTGTGTTCAGGTGTGTTCAGGTGTGTTCAGATGTGTTCAGATGTGTTCAGATGTGGTCAGGTGTGGTCATGTGTGTTCAGGTGTGGTCAGGTGTGTTCAGGTGTGTTCAGATGTGTTCAGGTGTTACCAGGAGTGTATCCCCAGGGCTCGTAGTAGGAGGGGAACACTCCCAGGTTACAGCCGCGCACAAAGTCGTCATAGTCCATGGGCAGCAGGGGGCTGGTGGAGGACAGGAACTCTGGGTGGAAGATGATCTGAAACACACAGACCATTTTGGAATCATGACTGAGGAACAGTTCAGTTTCTTATGTGATCACATAATTATTACAAGCATACACCAAGTGCACTACACACTACACGGTGCACACTAAACACACACAGTTCTGCCCTTTTGTTTACATCAAGGGTGTCAAACATTTGGCCCGGAGGCCAGATCCGGCCCTCCAAGACCTTCAATCTGGCCCTTGACTGATTTTCTACTAAAATATTTGAATTATATTTTCTATTAAAATATTTGTAATTTTCTGTGGTGTTTATCACAGCAGCTTCTCCAGTGTCTCTGTATGTGGCCCCTCCCACCAGAGCAGCACAAATGAAGACTTGTCTCTTTCCAAACGCTCTTAAAGGACGATCGTTTTGACTGTTGACCGTGACACCCTCATCAGAAAAATGTCCAACATGAGAAAAGTGGAGCCGAGTGCAGGATTTTACAACAAAAATGGACTTATTCTATTTGCAAACAAGTTCATGTTAAAACATTGTGTTGAAATTGTATTTTTCTTAAAGTTTCAGGTTGTTCATAATATTGTAATATTTTGTAAAAGAAAGAGTTCATCAATTCAAAAAGATTTCTGTAATAGATTTGTGTTTCTCTGCACAAATATTTGAACTTATTGTTATTTTTGGGGTTTATATGACATGAGTTTTCTGATCCGGCCTCTTTGGGATCAAAGTAGGTTGGATACGGCCCCCGGACCAAAATGAGTTTGACACCCCTGATTTACATGTTTTCCCCAGTCCAGCTCCGTTTCCCTGTCTGTCTGTTTTGGTCCTCATGTTTCTACCTCGTCCTCGTCGTCTCTTGCCTCTCATTCCCTGATCAGCCCAGGCTAGTCTACACACACTCCTCCTGCTCACTCACTCTTTGTTAGATTATTGAGCTGTGAAGACACACACTCAATCTCTCTGAAACTCTGCACCTGTATTCTGTTGTTTGCATTTTGTACATTCTGCTTTATTCCTGTTTCTAGTATCTGTTTGAGTTTAATCTCAGCATACTTTCTACTTAGAGTATTTCCCAGGTTTTGGAAGATATTTTAGTTCACATTAAATGAATCATATATTCCTCTGTTGTTTTTCAGTCTGATATTAAACATGACCTGTTCTAGGACACTTTCTGTTATTTAACTAAGACTTTGTTTGCCTGTGTTGCATTTGAGTCCAGTTTACCTGCGTGATAAGCTGTACTTCCCTTTGAATGCCCTTTTACCTTGACACGGTCGTTGCGGTCGTTGAAGAGGCCGATGCGGCGCACGTTGGTCAGGATGGGGTCAGTGGCGTCGTCCAGCATGTTGTGAGTGGTGACCGGAGGCAGGCTGCGTCTCTGCTCACAGACAGGACAGGACAGGTCAGAACAGAGCACTGCTGACCCGCCAGACACAGGGAGGATGGGACAAAGGACATCCTCAGTATTCAATAGAGAGTTGAACTGTTGCAGTGACATATCAGTATTTGGCATTAGTCTGTATAAAATCTGCTAACTGTCACAAACATGTTATTAAAAGCAGAGGATTTCTGTTAGAAGGGAGTCCACCACCTGCTTGTTTCCATGGAGGTGTGCCACCACCAAGCCAAGCTACAGGTTAGATCAGCTGAGAGGAGAGCTTTTAATGCCACACTGAGAAACATTCCAGGCAAAGTAGTAACATCTCCAAAGAGAAGTAGTAGAAGTATTGTGCACCTTGAAATCATTTTATTTATTTTTTTCTCAATGATCTGCATTTACAACACAATGCATAATATAAAAGGAATTTATCTTAAAGAAAGGCTATTTCTATGAGAAATGATCAGTCAACATAACGTGTGTCCCACTAATGAAACTACTGCACATCGCATCAGGTTTGTCAAGATGCTGTGCACTGGTTTGTATGATATATTTTTTTGTATATTCGTGGAGAAATGTCGCGTGGGAGTGTGGGTGACGTAGGCTTGTGGGGGGAGAATTGCACACGCTTGCACTAACCATAAGGAGGGTTCAAATAGGCACCTGGGAGAGATCACTAAAACACTCAAACATGCATGGATGACATCTGAAACCTCTTCAAGCATTTTATGATGAGGGAACAACATTACAACATGGTAGCTCCAAAAAGTCTATTTTTAACCGGAAGAAAATCAAATCAAGTATAAACCCTGTTATACTCAGTGTTGGGGAGTAACAGATTACATGTACTGGAGTTACATAATCAGAGTACAAATTATGAGAAATTGTATTCAGTTACAGTTACTTTTTCAGTGAGTGGTAATTGGATTACAGTTACTTTGTTAAAATAAATGAATTATATGGTGATATTTTCCTGTTTTCACATTTCCCCGGCGCTTTTTTTTTTTTTTTTTTTTTTTTTTCGGTAATTCCACTCATTGTTGGATACTAAACCAGGTCTAAACTAGGACTAAACCAGGACTAAACCAGGTCTAAAACCAGGTCTAAACTGGGACTAAACCAGTTCTAAACCAGGTCTACAACAGGATTTAACAGGACTAAACCAGGACTAAATCATGCCGTGCGGACCGTGTCTCCTCGTCTTCTATCAATAATATTTTTAATACGGTTCAGTAAAGCCCTTTTCATTTTCTTTTATCAGACAAAACTTCTTATGTGAAGATTTCCTCGTCTTTGTTTCTCTACAGCAAATCAAGTAATCCAAAGTATTCAGATTACATTACTCACTTTAAGTAATTTAATGGATTACGTTACAAACTACTTTTTGGAGTATGTAATCTGTAATCTGTAGGGGATTACAAGTAACCTTTCCAACACTGGTTATACTAGTGACATGGCTCTATAGATGTTTATGAGGGGGGTGGAAGAAGCTGTGTGTGAGACATGACAGGCCTGTCCACACCACAGTCTCTCACTGTATGGTGGAGTCTACAGGCTGCAGCCCTGCGCACACACACAACAGAGGAGTTATGAAGTGCTGCTGAGGAAATGAGAAAATGACAAAGGGAGACCTTAATGTTTGGTCAATACAATCACACATGTTTAGCGCACACATAAATCTCACTGTAACGGCCCCGTCGAGCCCAGTGTCAGGCATACATCAGCTCAGTATTGACCACTGCCCCTCCCTCCACGCCTTATATGGTCCACATCCTGCTCCCATTCACAAAACCACTCCGTCGCTTTCTCTACTGCACACGACAAGATACATTACCACTGTTGCCAAGTTTGCTTATTTATAGAGACTGTGGCCTTTTTCATTTTTACATTTCCCAGAGACCAGATTTCTCTGGGGCGGAATGCACTTTGACAACACTATAACTGCGCCTTCATTTTATGTTTCATAGGATGACCATATTTCCATTTGTGAAAACCTGGACACCTTTTGGGGGGGGGGTTGTGCAGGTCTCTGTGCTGTTGGGAAAATAACACAAGGACGACAGCAGCAACAAGTTTTAAGAAGCAAGTAAAAAGGGTTGCACCTGTCCTGTCTGAGAAAAGTGTATAAAGTTTGTGCTGAGGGGTTTTACAGCCTTAACACAGATAGAATAATTGTAAAATATAAAGTTGATACTTCGCAGATTTCACCTATCGCAGGTTATTTTTAGAACGTAACCCCCACGATAAACGAGGGACACTGTACTCTCACCTCACAACCTGTGCACATGGACTCACACTTGCTACGACCGGGATGGAAAACGGAGAATTTCTTGTCCAAGTCATTGTTAAATGTGCATTTGTGCTTCAGTGTGTTTCAGACTGACCAACCGTTTGTGTCTCGCTCCTTCTGAGTCACAGATGCTACGAGAGACGCTCAGTTTAATGCCCCCAATGAACGGTACCCGGACATTTGCATCACTTTATAAAAAAAAAACCCAGACGCCCCGGACATGACGCAAAATACGGACATGTCCGGGGAAAAACAGATGTTTGGTCACCCTATGTTTCATGAATATAACGTTCACAAACAACTGTCAAACATTACAACAACAAAAATATACTTTCAAAATCCTAATAATTTTTCTCTGTCTAGACAAACGGCAGTGAAATAAAACCAGGCTTTAACTGTGGTGCAGTTCATGACAGAGACTAAGACTAAGACCAGGTTTAAAAAGATACTAGGACTAAAGCAGGTCTAAAACAGGTAAACCAAGGACTCAAGAGGACAGAGAGGAAGGAGGAGGGCAGGGTCTGGAGGGTTAAAGCAGAGAGACAGAGAGAGAGAGAGAGAGAGAGAGAGAGAGAGAGAGAGAGAGAGTGTGTGTGTGTGTGTGTGTGTGTGTGTGTGTGTGTGTGTGTGTGTGTGTGTGTGTGTGTGTGTGTGTGTGTGTGTGTGTGTGTGTGTGTGTGTGTGTGTGTGTGTGTGTGTGTGTGTGTGTGTGTGTGTGTGTGTGTGTGTGTGTGTGTGTGTGTGTGTGTGTGTGTGTGTGTGGGGTCTGGTACCTGTGTGGCATAGATGGCTCTCTTCATGATGGTGAAGTCGTCGCGGTCAAGGATGGCGTTCATGTCGGGGATCTGGCCTCTGAGTAGAAGCAGAGGGTTAAATGATTGACAGGGGTGAGATGATTGACAGGGGGACAGTGTGAGTGCAGCAGGACACACTTACCTGAGTAAAGAGTCATAGAGCCGCTGACCAAACTTCTCCTTCACAGAGTGAGCCGTGTCCCTGCCACACACAGTGTGTGTGTGTGTTGGGAGAAAAAATATAAAAGATAAAACTTATAAAATATAAGATATGAAGACTGCTAAGATAACTGACACCACATGTTCCTATTTTCTTTAATAATCACTGAGGCAAAAGATGAGATACTCCAGGCCACCACAATGGGGCGATCAAACCAGGCAACTGCCAAGGGCCCCACACTGAAGAGGGCCCCAGAACACATAACTAACTTAAGAGCCAGGCTTGAAAACTATAGACTGCTGTTATGATAATCTATGTTTACTGCTAAACACAAAAGCACAAACTAACTGGTTTTGAAATCATCAAACCTACTAGGCCCCTGTGGTGTCTAGAGACAGCTCTGAAAATACTTACACTAGTACATGTACTAGATCTAAAACCACGACTCCTAAACTGACTGTTCTGGAGTCTCTTTTATGTATCTACATACATACTTTGTACACAACATTCCATGTTCTTGGTCCATAAAAACACAACTTCATAGGAAAATGAGCAGTCTGGTGCTAAACTCCTTGCACATCAGAGTTTTGAGAAGAGGCTGAAGATCTCAGCTCAGAGTCAAGAAGTGAGCAGGTTTGAGATAGTTTGCCTTTCTTTCGTGCGTACACTTTGAGTAAGAATTGCACACAGATATATTGAGACCCCCGTGAGGCTCACCACAGCTGCTTGCGGATGGCCTGACCCTTCAGCGACTCCACGTTGAAGTTGTTGGTTTTGGCGGGCATGATGAAGAAAACCACCACGGTCACATCACTGCGGTGCACCTGCACACAGCATGACACACTGAGAGGGTGACAGCATGAGGGAGAGAGAGCACGAGAGAGGATAGAGTGAGAGGAATAGAGAGGGAGAGAGAAGGACAGACACAGAAAAAGAGACAGAGAGGAACAGAGAAGAGAGAAGGAACGTCCCCTGTCTGTCACTGAGAGACAGAGAAAGAAAAGAGAGGGTGGGGGGGGTGACACTGTGCCAGAGAGACTGCACTATATGTGTATACATATCAGGTGAGTACCCTCAGCAGGTAGTTGAGGCGGGACAGAGACTCCAGGAAGATGTCGGCTCCTTTGTTGGAGAACTCGTAGCGTCCGGCGATGAAGAAGAACAGAGTCTTGTCCAGGTTAAAGTCCAGATGTCTGCGCACAAAGACACAAAGGCTCATATCAGACTATTTACTGATCTCTGTTATACTGTTGTTTCCTCATCACAAACAGACCTGCACGGAAAAAAATTACTTGTAAGATTTACTAGAAAAAATCTTCATAACAATTTGCACTAGTACTTTTTAAGTAAATTTTATTGCTGTAATATTAGGTACAATTTACTTCAGTCAGTATTAAGTAAAATGCACTTTCCACCACAATTATGAATTTAGTTACGAGCCATTTACTCAGTAATTGTTACTCCATTTTTTAAACTTAGAAGTCATATTTATGTAACTAAATTAAGTAAAATATTTAAAATATCATCATCATTAATTGCATTGCTGTGATGAAATAATTCAGTAAATATTATATGTCTAGTATTTACTGATGTGTAGAACATTTTTATACAACTTATTTCAATCGTCAAGTGCTTTACAACAAGGAACCACTCATCCATACACACACACGAACACACACACACGCACACACACACACACACACAGACACACACGCACACACACACACAACACACACACGCACACACACACACACACACGCACACACACACACACACACACACGCACACACACACACGAACACACACGCACGCACACACACACACGCACACACACGCACGCACACGCACACACACGCACACACACACGCACACACACGCACACGCACACACGAACACACACGCACGCACGCACACACACACACAGACACACACACACACACACACCAGTGTACACAGACACTGGAGGTGATGTGGGATAAGTGTCTTGCCCAAGAACACAATGAAATCTGTGGGAGCTTGAATCACACCACCAGGATTTAAACTGCCAACCTTCAGATCAGTAGATGAACACTCGACCAGCTGAACTCCTGCCGCCCCAGCCCAAACAAGCAGCTTTTATTTATCTAAAAGGACTTTGGTCTGACTCAGTATCTGTGGGTTTATGAGGAGCAACTGTAAAACCTTAAAAAGTGTTGTTGATTCTACAGTAGAACTTACTCATCAAACACAATAATTCGACTACATGAGTAAAGTAAATACATCTTGTCCATTGCTATTAAATAAGTTGTAGTTTTCACAGAATTATGCTATTTCACTGTAAAAATTACCCCAGTTGATTTTATATTTTTTACTCCCCAGAGAAGTGATTTTTTTCAATGTGGAATTGTGTTTTGTTTCATTCACACAAAATACAAACAAATCTGGCGTTTTTCCGCTGAGTTCTTCTCTCAGGCAGAAAACTGTGTTCCACCTTGTGATGTCATGGGGTAATACAGAAAATGCTCCACTGTGTTTTTAATCTCTATACATCTTAATTAGAATCATTTGGATGATTTTCAGCTCAGGAATTTCCATTCTCTACTGAACAAAATGTACAAGGAGCTGTTCACTTAAACCACAGCTTCATGACGTTGCATTTTGAACTTTGGAGATGTAGACATACGAAGAAGTGAAGTGAAGGAGAGGAGAGAAACATTCTAACATTGTTTAAAGCTCAATTTCATTTAACACAGAACCTTGACTATTTTTGTATACAATAGTGTGTGTATATGCAGTAGTGTGTCTATGTAGTAGTGTGTGTGTATGCAGTAGAGTGTGTATGCCTTAGTGTGTGTATGTCATAGGGTGTGTATGTAGTAGTGTGTGTATGCAGTAGCGTGTGTATGTAGTAGTTTGTGTATGTAGTAGTGTGTGTTTGCAGTAGTGTGTGTATGTAGTAGTGTGTGTAGTATGTGTGTATGTAGTAGTGTATATATGCAGTAGTGTGTGTACAGTAGTGTGTGTATGCAGTAGTGTGTATGTAGCAGTAGTGTGTCCAGTAGTGTGTAGTAGTGTGTGTATGCAGTAGTATGTAGTGTGTAAGTAGTGTGTATGTAGTTGTGTGTATGCAGTAGTGTGTGTATGTAGTATTGTGTGTGTATGCAGTAGAGTATGTATGTAGTAATGTGTGTATGTAGTAGTGTGTGTATGTAGTAGTGTGTGTATGCAGTAGTGTGTGTATGCAGTAGTGTGTGTATGCAGTAGTGTGTGTATGCAGTAGTGTGTGTGTATGCAGTAGAGTGTGTATGCCTTAGTGTGTGTATGTCATAGAGTGTGTATGTAGTAGTGTGTGTATGCAGTAGCGTGTGTATGTAGTAGTGTGTGTATGTAGTAGTGAGTGGATGTAGTAGTGTGTGTATGTAGTAGTGTGTAGATGTAGTAGTGTGTATATGTGGTAGTGTGTGTTTGCAGTAGTGTGTGTATGCAGTAGTGTGTATGTACTAGTGTGTCCATGTAGTAGTGTGTGTACGTAGTAGTGTGTGTATGTAGTTGTGTGTATGCAGTAGTGTGTGTATGCAGTAGAGTGTGTATGCAGTAGAGTGTGTATGTAGTAGTGTGTGTATGTAGTAGTGTGTGTATGCAGTAGTGTGTGTATGTAGTTGTGTGTATGCAGTAGTGTGTGTATGCAGTAGAGTGTGTATGCAGTAGAGTGTGTATGTAGTAGTGTGTGTATGTAGTAGTGTGTGTATGCAGTAGTGTGTGTATGCAGTAGTGTGTGTATGCAGTAGTGTGTATGTACTAGTGTGTCCGTGTAGTAGTGTGTGTACGTAGTAGTGTGTGTGTATGCAGTAGAGTGTGTATGTAGTAATGTGTGTATGTAGTAGTGTGTGTATGTAGTAGTGTGTGTATGTAGTAGTGTGTATATGCAGTAGTGTGTGTATGCAGTAGTGTGTGTATGCAGTAGCGTCTGTATGCAGTAGCGTGTTTATGCAGTAGTGTGTGTATGTAGTAGTGTGTGTGTATGTAGTAGTGTGTGTATGCAGTAGTGTGTGTATGTAGTAGCGTGTGTATGTAGTAGTGTGTGTACGCAGTAGGGTGTGTATGCAGTAGCGTGTGTATGCAATAGCGTGTGTAAGTAGTAGTGTGTGTATGTGCAGTAGTGTGTGTATGTAGTAGTGTGTGTATGTAGTGTAAGTGTGTGTATGCAGTAGTGTGTGTATGCAGTAGAGTGTGTATGCAGTAGTGTGTGTATGTAGTGTGTAGTGTGTGTATGCAGTAGTGTGTGTATGCAGTAGAGTGTGTATGCAGTAGTGTGTGTATGTAGTAGTGTGTGTATGCAGTAGTGTGTGTATGCAGTAGAGTGTGTATGCAGTAGAGTGTGTATGCAGTAGTGTGTGTATGCAGTAGTGTGTGTATGTAGTAGTGTGTGTATGCAGTAGCGTGTGTACGCAGTAGCGTGTGTACGCAGTAGTGTGTGTATGTCGTAGCGTGTGTATACAATAGTGTGTGTATACAATAGTGTGTGCATAGTAGTGTGTGTATGCAGTAGCGTGTGTATGCAGTAGCGTGTGTATGCAGTAGCGTGTGTATGCAGTAGCGTGTTTATGCAGTAGTGTGTGTATGTAGTAGCGTGTGTATGCAGTAGCGTGTGTATGCAGTAGCGTGTGTATGCAGTAGCTTGTTTATGCAGTAGTGTGAGTATGCAGTAGTGTGTGTATGCAGTAGCGTGTGTATGTAGTAGTGTGTGTGTATGCAGTAGTGTGTGTATGTAGTAGTGTATGTACGCAGTAGCGTGTGTATGTAGTAGTGTGTGTGTATGTAGTAGTGTGTGTATGCAGTAGCGTGTGTATGCAATAGTGTGTGTATGTTGTAGAGTGTGTATGCAGTAGTGTGTGCATGCAGTAGTGTGTGTATGCAGTAGTGTGTGCATAGTAGTGTGTGTATGCAGTAGTTTGTGTATGTAGTAGTGTGTGTATGCAGTAGCGTGTGTATGCAGTAGTGTGTGTATATAGTAGTGTGTGTATGCAGTAGCGTGTGTATGCAGTAGTGTGTGTATGTAGTAGTGTGTGTATGCAGTAGCGTGTGTATGCAGTAGTGTGTGTATGTCAGTAGTGTGTGTATGCAGTAGCGTGTGTATGCAGTAGTGTGTGTATGTAGTAGTGTGTGTATGCAGTAGCGTGTGTATGCAGTAGTGTGTGTATGCAGTAGCGTGTTTATGCAGTAGTGTGTGTATGTAGTAGTGTGTGTACGCAGTAACGTGTGTACGCAGTAGCGTGTGTATGCAGTAGCGTGTTTATGCAGTAGTGTGTGTATGTAGTAGTGTGTGTATGCAGTAGCAGTGTGTGTATGTAGTAGTGTGTGTATGTAGTAGCGTGTGTATGCAGTAGTGTGTGTATGTAGTAGCGTGTGTATGCAGTAGCGTGTGTATGCAGTAGTATGCAGTAGTGTGTATGTAGTAGTGTATGTACGCAGTAGCGTGTGTATGTAGTAGTGTGTGTGTATGTAGTAGTGTGTGTATGCAGTAGCGTGTGTATGCAGTAGCGTGTGTATGCAGTAGCGTGTGTATGCAATAGCGTGTGTATGTAGTAGTGTGTGTATGTTGTAGAGTGTGTATGCAGTAGTGTGTGCATGCAGTAGTGTGTGTATGCAGTAGTGTGTGCAGTAGTGTGTGTATGCAGTAGTGTGTATGCAGTAGTGTGTGTATATAGTAGTGTGTGTATGCAGTAGCGTGTGTATGCAGTAGTGTGTGTATGTAGTAGTGTGTGTATGCAGTAGAGTGTGTATGCAGTAGAGTGTGTATGCAGTAGTGTGTGTATGTAGTAGTGTGTGTACACAGTAGCGTGTGTACGCCGTAGTGTGTGTATGTCGTAGCGTGTGTATACAGTAGTGTGTGTATACAATAGTGTGTGCATAGTAGTGTGTGTATGCAGTAGCGTGTGTATGCAGTAGTGTGTGTATGCAGTAGTGCGTGTTTATGCAGTAGTGTGTGTATGCAGTAGCAGTAGCAGTAGTGTTTATGCAGTAGTGTGTGTATGTAGTGTGTGTGTACAGTAGTGTGTGTATGTAGTAGTGTGTATGCAGTAGTGTGTGTAGTATGCAGTAGTGTGTGTATGCAGTAGTGTGTGCAGTAGTGTGTATGCAGTAGCAGTAGCGTGTGTATGTAGTGTGTGTATGTAGTGTGTGTATGCAGTAGTGTGTAGTAGTGTGTGCATGCAGTAGTGTGTGTATGTAGTAGTGTGTGTATGCACAGTAGCGTGTGTGTACGCAGTAGTGTGTGTAGTGTGTGTATGCAGTAGCGTGTGTATACAAGTAGTGTGTGTGCAGTAGTGTGTGTAGCAGTAGTGTGTATGCAGTAGCGTGTGTATGTAGTAGTGTGTGTGTATGTAGTAGCGTGTGTATGCAGTAGTGTGTGTATGTAGTAGTGTGTGTATGTAGTAGTGTGTGTATGTAGTAGTGTGTATGTACCCATAGAAGTGTCCTCGCACAAACTCCTGGATTCGTCCTTTGCTGGTGACGTGGAGGTTCTGGAACTCGTGGATGGCTGAGAACTTCTTGATGTTCAGGCCGTTGGGGGTCACCACGTCTGCACACACAGCAGCTTAGACGCAAGTACGAAATACTAATACCATTATACTCCTAGTGCTACTACTACTACTACTACTACTACTGCCACTACAACTACTACTAATACTACTACTACTACTACTACTCTAACAGCAAGACCAACAAGAGCTGCTCAGAGCATTAGAAGCAGAGGTACAAAGGTCAAAGGTCACACATGTACTGATGTCCTGTTGTCTTCCATCCAGCACATAGCACATATACTTCACAAAGATGTGAGTCACGTCATTGGTGAGCCTCATGTTCAGGCGGGCTTGATTGACAGGTGGACTAGCCAATCAGGGACATCCATGGGACTTATGAGGGAAAAAATAAGACAGGGACTGAAAAATGTGGAGGATTAAACTGTTCATCTGTGGAGAGAGTGATGTCATTTTATTCAAAATAAGAGATGACCAATGAGCTCCTTCATCTCACATGTGCCACTGAAATAAACAGATTTGATTGGATGACCATGTTTGGTTCAGAGAGTGTGGGGAGCAGACTCATGACCGAATATATAAAACACACACACACACACCACACACACACACACACACACACCCACACCACACACACACAGGCGCACACACAGACACACCCACACCACACACACACAGACGCACACACACACCACACGCGCGCGCGCGCACACACAGACACACACACACCACACACACACACAGACGCACACCCACACCACACAGATTACTTCTACTACTAGACTAGTAGACTGGTTTAAAAGTAACTAACTACCACTACTAGTAACTAACTAACTACTACTACTAGACTACTACTACTAATTACAGTACTTGTACTAACTAACTAACTACTACTACTTCTATTAGACTATTATTACTAACTTCAGTACTCGTACTAACTAACTACCACTACTACTAGACTGCTATACTGGTTTAAAAGTAGAAGTAGAGTGTGTGACAGAATGTTGTTGTGCGATGATGCCTCGTGTGTGAGAGCGCCCCCTGTACCTGCTTTGCGGTGCAGCATGTGGCTGGCCTCCACAGCAGTGATCTGGGACACGGTGGTGAAGACGTGTGCGCAGTGGACGGCTGCTCTCTCCAGACAGTAGCGGTGGTAGATCTGCCTCTCCCCGGCCTCTTTATCGATGTTAAACTGAAACAAACATTCCATTCACTTCCATTCATTTCCAAAACTGATCCTAACCTTAACCACAGTCTCTACTTGACTAATTTCCATTTAAACCTTAACCAATGTAACTCATATCTGAACGAGCAGACACTTTCCATACTAAAGACTCAGTACTCAATAGACTTAAACTTAGACCAACTGTATTGATCCACAAGGGAAATGATTTGGACACAGGAGCTCTCACATCACAATATAATATCATAACAAAGACAATAAAATATAGTGGTAATAATACATTCTAAATAAGCTGCAAAAAAAGATGACAGGGATCAAAAATACTGATTCTGATCCCACGAAGCTCCTAAAAACTCTTTCTTTAGACAATAGAATGAGATTAAATTAAATGGTAGTACTTTCTTTTCTATTCCCATGTGCTTTATATCTGTGTCCAAAAAAGCACTATAAAAGTTGTATTATCATTATTATTATCATTATTATTATTATTATTATTATTATTATTATTATTATTATTATTATTATTAATCCATCAGTTGTGCAGGTAGGTTCTATAGTGGTCCATGGGTGTATACTAGACTATGTGCTCTTATTCTGATATTTATCAGAATTTCGCATGTCTACTTAACAAGTTGAAATGTAGCTTTTAACATGAAAACTACCACTGAGGGTGATCAGACGTCCCTGTTTACCCAGGATAGTCCCAGCTTTGAGCCCTGTGTCCCCTGTCCCAGTAGATTTATACAAAACCACTGATTTGTCCCAGTTTCATAAAAGAAATGTCCCAGGTGTCCCTATTTTTGACCAGTCTGATCCCTGCCAACAGTAAAGAGAGGCATAAATCGTCAATTGTTTAGGTAAAATACAGAAAAGCTGCTTAAAAACGACCAAAACACAGAGAAAATGTGACTATACTGACTCACATTTGTCATGAATGGTCTCTGCAGAATAATTTTCCTTAATTACACAGTTGTTAGATCATTTTATTCTTACCAACCACCACAAACCAGGGTGTTCCAGTTTTTGATTTTGAAAATCTGGTCACCCCAAACTGAACACAACTCCAGGTATGTTTTTGAGGAACTAACAACATTCTAACTGACTTGAATTGACATGACTTAAAGCTCACAAGGATCAACTTAGCGTAATATAGAACCTTTAAAGAAAGAGGCTGATTCTGTGACATAAAGTGATATAAAGAAGCATACATAAACATTGCTCCTTCGGTCGCTTCTTCGGGGTTCTGTTTTTTGTTTGGAGCTACTTTCAAAGACTTAGTTTGCTTATTTCCAACTGGTCATGTCCATCTATGAGAAGGTCAGGCTTGTGTAGTTCTGCTGAATTATGTAGAACTGGAGCGCTAAATTAAATCTAATCAAATCCAGATGAACAGACTCAGCTCCAGTTGTTGTCACAAGTACACAAACTTGTGTAATACTAATAATAATGTACAAATGTGTGCTGGGTTGAGTGGTCTGCCTGCTCCTGCTCCTGAATCAGAAGGCTTATTGATATGATTCTGTCAATAAGAGGGGGCTGTCTGTCAGTCATCCATCTGACGTGTGACCTTTACCTCCGCACTGCCCTTTCCCACCCGCGTCCCGCAGCCAATTACACTCACCTGAACCACATCATGACCCCTAACTGCACTTCCTCTGCAGCTCCACTTATCACAAATCTGTTCTCAAGTTGGTCCCAACAGGATTCCACTTTAGCCAAACTGTTTAAAACAGACATGTCAAACTCAGGCCCAGGGGCCAAATTTGCCCCACAATATAATTATATTTGGCCCACGAGATCATATCAAATCTGTATTCAATCTGCCCGCTGGCTACAGATCGACTATAGAGACATTATTTATTTAAAATGTTGTTTTATTTTGTATTATGCGTGTTCTGGATTCAGTGTTTATTTATTTGTTACATTTATTTAAAGAAAAAATTATGTATCTTGAAAGAAGAGAAAACATGCAGATGTTGTTGAAATTTTTCAATAAATATTTAGTTTGGCCCACGACTTTCCAGTTTTCAATTTTGGCCTCTGTGAATTTGAGTTTGACAGCCCTGGTTTAAAGGTTCTATATTAGGCAAAAATGGACTCCTGTGAGCGTTTAACCACGTTACAATGTTCTTACTGGTGTTGTAATTGTTGTAGAGACCAAGACCAGTCTGAAAACACAGGGTCCCGAAACCAGGACCAAGACCTCTGAGAGTCGAGAGCGAGACAAGACCAAGACTTTTAAAGGTCGAAACCGAGACAAGACCTCGACCATGGCCCATCGAGACCAAATCGAGATCATCTTTGTCATTTCCTACATTTATTTGTATTTTACACTTATTTTGGCAAAAATATATAAATCCTTTTATAAATCTACCTCCATTTGATCCAATTAATGTTCATTTAGACTTAAAATAGGCCAAACAAACTGTACTGCACTGAAACACTCTGTGACCCTTTTTTGGACCCACAGTTTGAGAAGCTCTTCTTTAATCCCACTTCCACTGGCTCTTTACACAAAACAACTTCAAAGTGAATCAAGTGTTTTTTTCAAGTTCATAACATTTACAGTGACATTCTCTTACTGGTGAAGCTGTGATATTTAGGAGCCTCTGCACATTTACCAGCTGTAGTGAAATATGATCAAACTCGTCAAGTGTCAGACCTCGAGTCCGAGACAAGACCGAGACCAAATGTGCTCAAGTCCGAGACGAAACCAAGACTGTAAAAAAGTGATCTCAAGGCCGGTGTCGAGTACTACAATACTAGTTGTCACTCTGTTTGTGATGTGGTCCACTGTGTTTTTAAACTCCAAACTGTTTCACTGCCAGTCTCTACTGAACTAAACATGAAAGCTGCTAACATGAAAAGTGCCCTACAAAGGTAAAAGAGCTTAACTGACAAAAATGACTTCAAAGTTTCTAGTTTGTCCAGACAAAAGTATAATAGGCAGGACTCCCAAAATTTGACAACTAATTGCTATAATGAAGAAATATTTGTATGTGAAAAATATTGAGCTCCAAATTGACCTTTGACCCTTATTTGTCAGTTCCTGTTCTCTGTCTTTGTGTCAGGAGCTAAAAATAATGAGTCGTTCAAAGGCAAAAGGCAGAAACTGACACTTTTACTTGTCTAATTTATTTTACTTATTTATTGCTATTTTATGATTTTATGGTTTTACTTTTATTTGCTTTTATTGGTTTCATTGCACTGGCATGACCAAATTTGAGCAGTTTACCTCTTCATTTTATTGATCTCTGTGCAGCACTTTGGAAACTGTTTGTTTGTAAAATGTGCTTTAGAAATAATGTGGATTTGGATTTGAAAACAGGAGCATGTATGAGCAGAGAGTTATCATAAACACTGAAGCACATATATACTGTACATACATATATATATTTGAGACAGGGACAGCACACAATTTTCACATTAACCTTGACAGGAGAGATGCATTGTACATCAGGTTGTAGCATCAGTGCTAATTTCCACCTCTAGTCCCTGATTGATTGTATTTAACTGACCTTGACTATCAACTGTTCTGGAGATCTGTAGCATGTTTTGGGTTGATGGGGGAAACCGGAGCACCCAGAGGAAACCATCCAGACACAGGGAGAAACATGCAAACTCCAACACAGAAAGGCCCTGGGCGACCTGGGGATCGAACCCAGAACCTTCTTGCTGTGAGGCATGAGTGCTAGCCACTCAGCCACCGTATTTATATACTGCTCTCTGAGCTCACTTGTGGTGCAGTGTGATCATTGTTTCCGCTGCATCTTTGCTTCTCCTTACAGTGTTTGGCCCAGAAAATCTTTTATAAAATGAATAATAATACTGCTGACCTTTGACCTTTAGGATGCAGCTACACACAGGCCTTTGCCCCATGTCCTGAGCAGTTCAGTAAAAAGAGCTCCCTGTACTTCCACACTGTACTCCCATACTGCACACCTACTGCCATGCCAACTGCCACCAGCAGAGGGCGCCTACACCACTCCAGCTTCACTAGAGTTCAGTGTGATGGGCTGAAATGCAGAGGACTAAAGGTGTGCAGCCTGAGCTCACACTGGTAAACTACTTGTCAGTGTGTATGGACAGGCCTTACACAGATCCTCTGTAGTACACTCTGATGGTAAAACAAGACACTGGTACTGCGTGAATACTTGACTTAGTGAGGATTCACATCAGACGAGTGATTTCAGAAAAGAGAAATACCTTGTGCAAGTTGTTGTAGAAGTCGGCGTTGCCCGCGCACAGGTAGCGCCCCAGCAGAGTGGCGTGTGTGGTGAAGACTGTGGCCACAGGGAGCCTCCGTGAGCGGGTCAGGACCAGCCCGGGCCCCGCCTGCCACTCATGGAAGTGTGCGATCACATTCTGCCTGTCCCCCAGGTCGTCTGTTACCTGCACACATGCACACATCCATGCACACATCCATGCACACAAACACACACACACACACACACACACACATATATAGTGCATCTAATTATAACACATGTTCTTTTATTTTAAGTGAATGTTTGCATGCTAGTTTCCTTTACTGTGACAGCAAAACTGGACTCTGAACATAAATTGTGTTGAATAATTAGGATGCTCAGAATGCATAAAGGAATAACTTTGGATCACTGTTGTGAACTAGTTGTGTTTTTCATGTTAGATCGGCTCCCTAGAGTTACTGCTCATGCGCACACCCCCATGTGCTCTTACAGTTTAAATACTGTCGATTTGAGCTCCGAGGCAGAAGTGGAGGAACATGTCACATTTTAAAAGTGTATTGGTTTATTGTATGTTTTGTCCAGTTAAGCAACGACATGTGCGTGAGATTTACAGCAGAATACTGACGTTAGATGATTGAATAGTTTGGATTTAATGTTTGATTTTATCACTATCATTTTCATTACACTGTAAGTGTAGAAAACATTGTAACTTTAGAAATGTACTGTATAAATAAAATATCACTATATTATAATAGGAAATCACACCGTAGCCTGTGATATGAGTGTTAAATATTATGTATTTAACACTATTTAATATAAAGATTTGAGTGTTTCCAGTCATGTTTTTCTCTTCTATAGTGGGAGTCTTATTTGATAGAAGATATCGATGCAAATTCATATAAATGAGTGAATAATAATGATTCTACAGTGGGAGCATTATTCGATGGTTAAATTGTCCTGTCGATATGTGCTCTCTTTAGTCAGAGCCTATTTGAGCAGAATACAAATGTTGAAATGAACTGCCTATGCAGATTCAGATAAATGAGTTACAATTTGACATAACTAAAGTATAAAGTGTGATCACTGTGTGCAAACAGCATCAAACCTGCGTCTATAATCCAAAGAAATATGTTATAAAAGTGGGGAGGTCAGGTCATTCACGCCCTGAGCGCCTGAGAGAGTGACTGCTGGGTACAGTAGATCACATTTGTCAAAGTGAGGGACAAACTGCTGTCCATCATGGACACTCCTGCTCACCCACTGCACCAGACTATAGAGGGACAGATGCTTTTATTCTTATAAATTAAGGCATCAGAAAAAGTGAGCATGGCCCTCAAATTTCAATGGACCATAACTCAGAAATGACTCAAGGGATTGAGCTAAGATTGAGCTAAAATTAGAGATTCTTTCATTTGGTGATTTTAGAATTTTTTTTCAATCAAATCTGAGATGGCTCATAAGGGAGATTCCTTGAAAAAAGCTGATTTCATACGGACTGACCCTTCTGCCAACTTTATAAATCCAGTGATTCATTCAAAAACAGTACAGTGCCTTTAATGGAAGTGCACGTGACCTGAGTTGTACAGAAGTGACATATTAAAAGATCTGAGGACACGTGTGGACAGCAGCAGAGACAAACCTCTTTGAAGAACCAGGCGATGAGGGCTCCCAGGATGAGGGCATCGTTGGCCTCACGGTCGTGGAAGGGCATCCCGATGTGGCAGCTCTGCCACAGGTCGCCCTTCCAGCGGTCCAGGTTCCAGGCAGCAGAGCCCAGGTCAAACAGGATCACGTACGGACTGCCCTCGATCAGCCAGCGCCCACAGTGCACCTGCGTACCACCATGTACACAAGACAAGTCAAATACTTCGACAAAACAAGGACAAGTCTGAATATTCATCACTTTTCAAAGAAACCAAAATGAGGTTCACAAGGTTTTTTCTTCAATATTAGGATCAAAGGCCAGGAAATAAATGTAAGTCAAGCTGTACACAGTCACATCCTCTGGCCCCTAATGAGGACTAAATCAGGTCTATTTGAGATCAGCAGCATGGTTTAAAGATCAGATCTGGGCTCAAAGTTATTACCATTTGTGTTTTTGTGTGTAAAGTGGGAGCTACGGTGTCACAATCATTTCCCTTGTGGCTCATTAATGAGACTTTGCTCTCCTGTTTGAGCTCAGTTTTAATGAGTGTCTCTTTTCAAAGGGTTTTATGTACACAAATGTATCTGTAATGTTGTATCCTCCTCAACTGTGTCACAAACACACCAGGAGTTATGTTTTGTTTCATTCACACATGTTTAACACACAGAGAGTTCTTCCCTCAAACTGAAAACACTGAGGGATACATCACAGGATAATCCATATGGTAACACAGAAATTGATCCACTGTGTTTTTAAAGCCCATACACCTTCACTAGAACCATTTGTGTAATTTCACATGCCAAGATTTGAAGTTACAGTTATTGTTTTAGGCTTGTTGAAACCTTCACTTCATAGTGCCCCAGAGGAGACCGTAAACTGTCAATCACAAAATAGGTTTATATGAAAATATGTTTTGTTTTTTTGAAATGCACAAACTTGACATGACATGGGAGAACAGAGCATCTTGAGCTTTGGAGATGCAGACATCATAAAAATGCAAGATCACTCAAACATGTGTGAATGAAACTTTTGCCTTTAACACTGTGCAGTGTGACCTTGCAGCCGTTGTTGGTGAGGGCGTCAATGGCCTTCTTGACAGCAGGGTTTGGGGGTTCACAGCCCTCCACTTGAGTCTGGAAGTTGTGCTCAAAATAAGGGCCCATCATGTAGTAGTTGTCCCCCCATTCGTCCACGGTGATCTTGGCTTTGGTCTGGATCACGGTGTAGATCCCTCCCACTGCACACACACACACACACACACACACAGGACACAGGAGTAATGCTCACAGCTCGACACAGGTCCTTTGTCTATACCATTCCATTAAACACTCCAACAACAGCGTCTGAGCACACTGTTGGGTTTTGTCACTTATGTTTAGCACCGTTCTTTGCACACAGTTTGAAACTGTTGAGCAAAACCAAAAGGACACAAGCCACTGAAGTGAGTATGAGTCAAAGACAGAGCTGTTAACACCAGTATTCACATGTGAAGGGTTAGAGTTCTGAGTTTCAGATGTTATCAAAGCTCTGCTCATGCAGCAGCAGGCTCACTTTGAACTGAACTGATAAAGACTGTTTCATATAATCTATGGTCAGGGTTCATATGAGAGCCTAAAGGTCACACAGAGGTCATGAAAGGCCTAAAAACATATTGGAATTCACATGACGTAGAGACCTGCTGTGTTCCTCCACACAGCTGGAACATTAGAACCCATTTTAAACACAGACTGAATCTGAATCATGATTTGACTCTTTCATGTGAGTAAAGTCTCATTCATTCTGCTCCACAGCCGCTTAATTTTTAACTGTGGAGTGAATGGACTTGAACTCCACACTAGATCAATATTGATTTAGTGTTACACAAAACATAGGAGCAGAGAGTGATGTGTGGGGCCCCTGAGGGCCTCTGCATGTTCTCACAGGTCACAGCATGTCTATATGTGAGTGAGGAGTGGATAGTGAGTGCCCAGACACAGATATGCCCAAGGGACATTGGTCTAATGCAGGGGTGCCCACACTTTTTCAGCATGTGAACTACTTATAAAATGACCAAGTCAAAATGATCAACCTATTACAAAGCCAAGCAAACTGCACTGAAACACTCTGTGCCCCTTTTCTGACCTTCACCCACAGCTCGAGAACCCCTTCATTAATCCCACTTCCTCTGGCACTTTACAGAAAACCAAAGAAAGTGAAGAAAGTCTGTAGAAATTTTAAACCTTTTTTGTCAAGTTCCTAACTGGAGTTACATTCTTTTACTGGTTTTGCAGTGGGATTTAGTCTCTGTACATTTACTAAACGCACATGTGACAAATACAGATGCATTTGTGTGCTTTTATTAGGCAAACTTCAACCACATGTCACTGGAGGTCTGCTCTGTGCTGTAGGTCTGCTCTGTACTGCAGGTTTGCTCTGTGCTCTGTGCCAACACTGTAACATAAATTTAGACTAGTGTTTACTTCTAATCCGCGGGCACAGAGGAGTTAGTCTGTGTGCTCTGTATGCAGGGAGGAGAAAGAGCGTGAGAAAGTGAGAAGGGTCACGCTGACGTGAGGCAGATGGACAGGTAAGATATTTTTAAAAATCTAATCTGCCCTGTGACACCCGCTGGTACGCGAGGGTACACACTGATGTGGACAAGCCTCGCGCTGGGGGCTTGTGATCACACTTGTAGAGTGTCAGACCTTGAGTGAGAGACAAAGACCAAATCCAAAGCTCTTGGGCCAGACTCATTGTGAATGTGATGTGTGAGTGACAGGTGTAGTCCGACCCTGTTTTCCTCAAGGCAGTTAGATTGACGCAGCAGCTACTAAGTGACCAGTACAACTAATACTAGTACTACTAATACTAGTACTACTGCTACTACTACTAGTAGTACTACTTCTACTACTACTACTACCATTGATACCACTGTTTCTGGTGTCCCACAGGGATCCGTGCTAGGCCCCAAATTATTTCTTTTATATATAAAAGACTTGTACTTAGTTTCTGAAAAACTTAAATCCTTTCTGTTTGCGGATGAAACAACAATTCTGTGTTCAGGTGAGGACCTTCAAACATTAGTGATCGAAAGACACACACGAAATTGCAAAGTTACAAGTGTGGTTTGCCTAAAACAAATTGTCTCTAAATATCATGAAAACTAAAGCTGTGTTCTTTGGAAACTGTGAAATAAATCAGAAAATTCAAATTGATAATGTAACCACAGAAAGAGAACTTGAACATACATTTCTTGGTGTAACTCTTGATCACAAACTTTGTTGGAAACCCCACAGTGATAAAATTAAAACCTAAATTGCAAAGTTATAGCCTTGATGCCTTGATGAACAAATCCAAATTTCTTGTAAATAAGAAAGCCCTGTGTACAATCTACTGTACTCTTATCTGACTCCATTTAAGTTACAGTGTAGAGGTCTGGGGAAATCCTCATAACTTTTCATCTTCTTCTTATATAAGTAACACAGACGTATTGTTTAAACTGATAGAAAAAAACAAAACAGTACGAATAGCTCACTTAGTTGGATATAGAGAACATACAAATGCACAGATATTGAAATCTGGGGACCTGGTAAAATTTTAAACCTGCCAAATCTTATTTAAAGTGAAACTCGACCTGCTCCCAAAAAACACCCAAAAACTGTTCTACACCAATGAATTCAACTACAGCCTGAGAAGTCAAATGATTAAAAAAAAATTAAAATTCTCTTGAACCACCCTCAAAATCACGTGTGTTAGCAGATGTGGAGCAGACTTATGGAATATGACCATATCAAACTTGGTGCACTTCAAAAAACAATATAAAAATCTAATCTTACAGAAATACCTAAAAGACTAGATCCACTGTCTTCACAAGTAAACACGACTCTTCTTTCTTTAACATTACTTTTTAGTTTGATACGATCATAAATGATACATTTTGTGCCTTATTTATCATTATTATTAGTTTGTATGACCATAAAAAGTAGAACTTTATGAGTGAAGTGTGTGCTTATCTCTGACCTTTGTTGGTGACCTCCCAGGACACTTCAAACAGCAGGAGGTCATCCACAGGCAGCTCGTCGTCTTCCCACTGCGGCAGCACCCCACTCAGGGAGCTCATGGACAGGGACCGTGACAGCGGCATCTCTGCAAGAGCCCCCACACAACCAGGGGCCAATGAAGAATGACAACTGCCAGTCAGGAGATGCAAGGAGATGCAAGTCAGAAACACGAGGGCCCGTCAGAGAACCAGGGACCAGTCAGAAACACAGGGGCCGTCAAAGAACCAGGAACCAGTCAGAAACACAGGGGCCCTTCAGAGAACCAGGGAGCAGTCAGAAACACAGGGGCCCTTCAGAGAACCAGGGAGCAGTCAGAAACACAGGGGCCCTTCAGAGAACCAGGGAGCAGTCAGAAACACAGGGGTCTTCAGCAGGCACAGGTCCTCCTCTCTCAGTGGACTGTGTATCTTCGTGTAGAGTTTGGAGTTTGGAGAGTTCAGGGGATTGTGCAATGTTTGTGAGGTAAGCCTCAGCCCCTCACAGTGACCATTTCTGTGGCATGACATGCCACAAAGCATGATGGGAGAGGAGGGGGAGGATGGGAAAGAAGGGGGGTTTAAAGGTGAGTTGGAATAGGTTGATTCATCCAATTAAAGTAAAGGAAACTTGCGCTACAAGCATGTTTGAGTGTATATAATGCCTACGACAATGGAGCACAGAGAGTCCCATTCACCATGACAACAGAGAGTAGAAATGCTCTGGTGCTAGCATACTTCTCTCCCATCAGAGCAAGCTGTGTTCATGTCTAAAACAGGACATTGGTACAGTGCTGTCTCAGTTTAGCCTCTACACATTTCCCTTTATGGATTAAGCAAAAATCCTAGAGGCCAAAGGCAGTGTTTTTTACTTTGGCAAAAGGCCTGGGCTAGACACATGACGTGGGCGTCACAGATTCAGTGGACACTAACAGGAGGTTCAAAGACCTGCATGGTCAAACAAATAGAATGCACTAGAGCTGCTCTGTCACACAGACCTTCACTGGAAGCACGTCCAAAAAACCGGAATGCCCATCTCTAAAATACTTTGAGTTATTTGTGTGTTCAACATGTGTGAATGAAACAAACACAACTCCAGATCTGTTTGTGATCAGGAAACTTTAATACTCTTTGTCTATTGGATAACTGATACAGTGAAATTAAAGAACCTTTCATGTATCCAGACAACAAACACAGAATCCCTCTGCTCTCGTGAGCAAGCAGGCTACAACCAAACACATCTACACATGAGCTGAACTGGAGCTGGTGCACTCACGACTAACTCCAGTCAGAATGACTGAAACCAGTGTGAATGAAATCAAATACAACTCCACGTATGCTTTTGCTGACGCTTTTGCATTGGTTAAAAGCTCAAAAAAGTCCATTTTGCATAATATATGTCCTGCAGGTTTCATTTTTAGGGATTTGTGTTTTTCTCCCACAAACATATCACTGATTTGGGCCTGACAACTATCTAAATAGATGTGGTTTAAAGGGCTCATAATGTGAGCGTAGTTATGAGGAAAAAGCGTGTGCTATGATGTTGTCTCCTGTTGCATTATGGAAAGAATCATGGACACTCTGCGTGTTATGATAAAATGTCCACACGGAGCGGCAACATTTCACAGAATCCACATGAATGATGCATCAGACAGGACACAGCTCCATTTACTCTGTCCCATCAGTCCATCAGCGGGACGAGGGGTCAGCGGGGGTCACTGGTGAGACATAAAAGCAGGAGAGAGCGGCTGTGGGACATTGGAGCAGAGATGGTGCTCAGAGGAGACGCGTGGCTGCTGACGGCGTTGGCTCTGGGTGGGCTCATGTTGGGACAGGACACAGTGAGCATGGGGGTCCCTCTGGGAGTCCCTCTGGGGGTCCCCCTGCACGGAGCTCCAGTGCACGGGACGCACACGGCAGGTATGCACACATCTATCAGACAGTATGGGGCGCTGCACAGAGAGGGGAGAGTAGAGCATGCAGTCGTGAAGTTGTATTTGGAGTGATTTGTGTATGTCTGAGTAATCTTTAATTGCTTTTTTCAAAACGCCCTTTTGCAGATCACTTTGCATTGTCATTTTGGTACAAATGAAAAAAAAAGAAGAAAAAAGTACTGCTCACTGGGGTGACGTGCAGCTATCCACAGTGGGGGCAAACTCTTTGTAGTGATGACGTTTACGATGACACCAGCTCCCATTGAGCACCACAGAAGTCAGCATAATTTGTTTCTTTTATTAAGTCATTTTAGATGAATTTTGTGATTTCAAAAGTCCCAATTATGACATAATGATCCATGGGTGTCATAGATTATAACTACAGCAGACACAAACATAATAGGTCTTCTTTAAAGTGGGAGGTCATCCGCCTGCTCGTCTCCATGGTGATGTCATTATTCCACAGTATAGACAACATGTCTCTATCCATAGAGACAAGCAGGTGATGCCGCCAAGTTACAGGTCCACATCTGTGGAGGGGCATTTTTAACCCTTATATTGTGTTAGAAAGCTACACTCATCTTTAGTGAACCTCATCTTCATCCATAGACCATATATATATATATATATATATATATATATATATATATATATATATATATATATATATATATATATATATATATATATATATATATATATATATATATATATATGAATGGACATAACTAACACTGTAGCTGCCGTGCTCCAAACAGGAAGTTCTCCAGGAGGCTCTTTCTGACTCTGGCTCCAAGTGACTTACGTTGGGATCTTTTCGTCCCTCTCTCTGTAACTGCTGCTGTGAACCTCATCATTTTGGTCTTAAAACATTCGTATTATCCTTCACCACATGATAATGATTTTTTTATTTGCTGTTTTGTCCATCATAAAAATCCTATTCATAACATAGAGCCTGGCTCTAGATTCACTCCTGTAACCATGAGCATTGTGAGCTTCGTTTGTGCGGCACTGAACACTGTGGGTGACATCACACTCGCTTAGTCCACTTCTTTTCTACAGTCTATGTCCTCATCCTCATACACCTCTTCCTCAGCTTCACTTTCCTCTCTGTGTTCAGAATCACGCCTCATAAACAGTGAACCTGCTCATGGTGACTGATGCTGCAACAGAATGCAGCTGATAATATCTCACTAAAACCCTGTTTATATATGACAATGTTTATTTTCGATTCAAAATGTATCAATGTGCTGCGAGAAAGAGAAGAGCTCACGTGGGTGAAGAGGACCGTTGTGTGTGTGTGTGTGTGTGTGTGTGTGTGCGTGCATGCGTGTGTGTGTGTGGGTGAATATAGATTCTACGAGAAAGTTTGAGTTCACGTGGGGGAGGGGTGGTGAAGGGGGCCTGTGTGTGTGTCTGTGTGTGTGTGTACGTCTGCATGTGTTCAAATTCAAAGATAATATAATGCATGAATAAAAAGAACAGAATGAAATAATATCTTGGGAGAAAAAAATTAAGTGATTTTGAAACCTAGAACAGATGAAAAGGATTACACATTTCGAAGTACGATATATTTTGGGAGAAAATATTGACAAGAAACGATAATAAACAAATCTACACACTCAAACAACAGCGAGTTTATCAATAAACACTCTTGAAAATGTACAATAAAGTAACAAAAACACAAACTGCAATAATAAATGAATAAAAAGCAGAATTAAGCAAATGAAGCCAGGCTCTATATTATGAATAGGATTATTTTTCTATGAGAAAGTTTGAGTTCACGTGGGGGAGGGGTGGTGAAGGGGGCCTGTGTGTGTGGTGTTTGCGCGTGTGTTGTGTGAGTGTGTGTTTGTGCGCGTCTGCATGTGTGTGTCTGTGAGTGTGTGTGTGTGTGTATGGGGGTGTGTCTGTGTGTGTGTGTTGTGGGGCGCATTGAGCCATATTTGATCCACAGAGCAGCCCACAGCTTGTAAGTGATGCGGGTTATTTTTGACCCGTAAAACCACAAATGTCACTTTTTTTTGAGACCTTTACAATTTACTAAAATGGTGAAAATTAATTTTGTTGCGTTAAAATAGTTGTGTCTGAGGATTAGATGAAGCCTCGTTCCAGTACAAAAAAGCAAATGGTAGTTTTTACATACCTAAACTTGAAAACGGGTCAGTTTTGACCTGGACACAATATAAGGGTTAAGTAATAAAAGAGCTCATAATTAAATCTTCTGGACAGATTTAATGCCATACTTTAGAACATTCCAGGCAAAGCAATAACATCTCTGTGGAAACACGGATGTGGCAAATCCTTCACCATAAAGTTACATAGAGAAACTTTAAACAGGCAATATGTAACTTGTGGTGGGAGGTCTCCATGGAGATACTGTTGCTTTGACTGGTTAGTTTGGAAATTGAGTTTGAAATGTGAATATGGTGACAACACTAGTCTGTACTCCTACCCCTCGATATTTTATAGCCATGATAGTTGCAGTGAAGGGGCTGATTATACTTGTACTGTGCCCTAGAGGAAGGCACTCCCCTGCTCCAGGACACTGGGTGGAAATGGTTTGGTGAGAGTTTGCACTGGCCTGAGCACAGAGGACAGGGGCTGGTTTCTCTCAGCATGTGCAGTGAGAGGAGCTGATACGTTTTAGGTCTAGATCCATAAATCTAAAGTAAATGTTATACTTCAGTGACAGAGGTGAGTACTACAGTACTTTTCTTAAGAAAGTTTTTATAGAAATACGTTTTTTTGCAGCGCTCCTTCAGAGATGATTTTGTTTGTCTCATTTCTGGAACAAAAAAATAAATAAAAATAACAGATTCTGTGCATTTTGTCCTTCAAATTACATTCACTTCAAATTATAAACCAGATGTTACATCCTGATAGTTTAGGTTACTCTTACTAGTTTTTCCAAATACTTTTTGTTGAACCACTACTTTGTGCTTTTACTTGAGTATTATTATTTTGAAGTAATGTTATTACTTGAATACAGTTGTTGGCTACTCCACCCACCATTGCTTGGTCACATGTTGTTTCATCATATCTGTGTGGGTCCCAGGTCTACCCCCCCTTCAGGTCCTACCCGCCCTTCGGGCCCTGAGGGACATCCTGCCTGATGACCCCAGTGTGTGTGTGTCTGAGACAGAGGAGAGGCTGCTCTGCACCGAGCGCAGCCACTTCAACCTCAACACGTTTGGTCTCCGCTTTGGCAAACGCCAGGGTGGCTCCAGGACCAGCTCCAGGACCAGCTCCAGGACCAGCTCCAGGACCAACTCCATGACCAACTCCAGGACCAACTCCAGGACCAACCCAGTCCAACAGGGCACCAGCTACTACCACCTGCCTGTGCCCGCCTACGGCCCCAGGTTGCTGCCCACCTGAGCTGCCCGCTGTCCACAGTGGCCTGTGAGCACACAGACGTTTAGGACTGAATGTTTCCTGTCATCTCTGAGTTTCACATTCTTATAATAAAACTGAAAATAATGAACCCTTTATGTAGTCTTATTTATAGTGGGGCTAAACACCTTAAACAATTAAACATCTAAAAAAACAAATAAAACACCTAACTCCGCCCACAGCCACTTTTCAAAGAGATCTACTAAACCGGGCAGGACCTGGAGGACCTGGAGTTGACAGAGGGTCTGGAGCTTTAAGGAGCACTGACAATGGTCTAACAAGTATCCACACTCCACACTCCGCCAGGTGTTATATCAGAAACACTTGTCTGTAATCAGGGCAGTCTTGTGTGATGTCACATAGTACTTGAAATTGCAGAGGACACTGAAGGCAGCACACATTCATTTATTTTTACTGTTTTTGGACAGAAATTTGCAAATTTAGCTCATTTGCACTAAAGATGCCCTATATATATATTTATATATATATATATATAATATATATATATATATATATATATATATATATATATATATATATACATATATATATATATATATATATATATATATACACATATACACAGTTTAGTGTAAAAAGTGGAGCTAGTGTTTGGTTCCACTTTTGTGTGGGACGATGATTATACACAGCACGTGGAGGGTTCACATTTCAGGGTAAAATATTTCGGAGTTGTTTTTAAAACATAAAGTGTTATTTAAAAGTTAAATGGGGGTTGGAGTTGGGGTTATTTGAGTTGATGTAGTTAAAATTAATTCAACTTCCCTTAGTGTTAATTTGGCCCCTCCCACCACCACTTCAACCTTCTGTAAGAGAAGACCAGTTTGAACCAGTTTTGGACAGAATTGCCTCTTTCATAATGTTTTAAAGAAAATAAAGGCTTTACATGCACTGAATGTGATTTTTTTTACAGTGAACTTTAATTTACACTTCTCAGTGTGCAGTTACTACTCCCCAAAATGTTAACGTGTAAAAATAAAACACCTCTGTGTGTTGTTCAGCTAAATATAGACCCTATAAAGTGTTATCTGTTTGCTCTTCAAACATTCATGTAACTCTTGATTTCAGGGTTAAACAGGAACTTTGGTCCAGTGTTACTTAATGAACATTTCCAAAAATGTTACATTAACTCTAGAACAGATTGGACTCATATAAACCCTGAGAGAATGTTCAAACTGATTTTGTAGAGTCAAGACTTTTTGCTGTGTATCTGGAGCATGAACCTGTTGCTGCTGGTAGAATCTTCTAGTCCAGAGAGTGAAATGATCCAAAGAACAGGACAGGAGCCTGTCGCTCTCGTCTTGACCACACACTGTCTCCTGGGACGAGCTGCAGCATCCAGAGCAAACTCAAAGGTCCTCTGACTGAGGCTGTTGTAACTGTATTTGTGATTATGAATATGTAGTGTTAATACTTTGTAGTTAATGTCATCAACAGAGTGAACTACTGAAAGGCACTGCTCTGTCTGTTAAACGTCAGTCTGAGCATGGAGAACAGACAGAGCTGCACAACAGATGATCTGATTTGTGCTGTTAAACAAGTCCCAGATTACATTACAGTGACAAGCCCAATAAGCTTTAGCCAACATTTTTTCAGTGAGTCACTCTCACCTTTTTGGTTGAAAATCAAACACCCTAAGCAGGAATATGAATGCTTGTATTGATAAAAAATATACTGTTTATATCCTAAAGTTTATTGTACCTTAAAGAGTTTTTATTTTTGGACTTTGGACTTTTATTTTTAAATAAAAGTTCCTTTTGACAGACCAGTGTAGGGTTGTGATGTTACAGTGACATGTCTTGACTTTCAAGGACCTGGGATGGTGTCCTGGAGCAGTTGGCCTGCAGATGGCACTATTCCCCTCCCTCCTAGTGCAGGAGGAGAGTGGAACCAAAATCTGTGTCTGAGCCGCAAGACACGTCACTGTAACATCACACCTACACACAAACTATGTCAGTTGTTTGTGCTGTTTTGTGCTGTTAAAAGTTTTGTTTGTACCGTTATGGTTCTTAAGATATTAGTAATTTTATTTTGATCTGAGGCTGTGGAAAAGTCTGTATTATTATATAAAATATGAATCCAAAGCAAGTTACTAAAGACTGATCCAGACTTTTCCACAGTCTCAGATTGTTTCTCTTCACTAGTTTTATTGTTTTCCTAAAGCCGCTGCCGTCAGCTGAGCGGAAATGACATAAAATAATACGATTCTGCTGTTTTGAGGCTATTTAACATTTTGAGAGGGGCCAACTTGATTGATTGCATTTAACTGACTTCCATGAACTATCAGCTCGTCTTCCTGGAGACCTGTGTAGCATGTTTTGGGTGTCATGGGGGGGGGGCTGTGTGCTGTGTGCATTACTAAGGTGTGCATTGTATCACTATGGTAACTGCTAAACATTCCTCCACAGACATACATGCACTAAACCCCTCCCCAATCCCTAAATGACACACAGAACAGAACACACACAGAAGCCTAATGTCCAGATTGTTTTTATTGGTCAGTGTGTCTCCTGAGTGGCCGGACCCTCCACATACAGAGGCAGACTGCGCTCACCTCCAGCTCAGTGTGTTCTGGACGCTGCTGGTGACAAGGGACACTTCTACTGTAACAGATGTGTTTGCTTCATGTACATAAGGCAGTGAGGTGACAAGGAAGAGCACCTGTTGTACCTGGAGGCAGTGAGTTGATATGTGGTCGTACCTGTCTGTTGTACCTGGAGGTTTCCGGTTTGGGAGCAGCAGCACAACCAAACTGCTTCCTACTGTGTGTGTGTGTGTGTTTATGACTAAAGAGAAAACGGTGATTGAAAAGTGAGAGGGCCACAGGGGCTCAGAGGTCCTTGAGGTCCTTCTGGATGCCCCACAGAGTGTCTGCGCTCTTCTTGAGCTGAGCCACCTCGGCGTCGGTCAGAGTCATGTTGACCACACTGCTGACCCCACTGCTGTTGAGCACACAGGGCAGGGACAGGAAGACCTCCTCTGAGATGCCGTACATGCTCTGAAAAGACAAAGAACCAGTCAGAAAACACACTGGAATTTCACTTATTTCATTAAAGGTGCATTTTGTAACTTTTTTTTTTGGTCCTGCTTGTCTGAGAAGTTTTTGCTTTTCCACAGTATGCTGTTATACATATCTATCTTACCTTCATTTAACTTTTTCTTAAAATGACGTTCAGAAAAACAAACACTTAAAGGACTTATAATGTATTTTCCACACTATTAGTCGTTCTGGATTATAAGACGCGCTGTCATTAAATGGTCTATTTTCAAACTTTTTTCACAAATAAACCACACTGGACTTTAAATGAAACCCAACAGTGTGATGGGTGAGTGGTTTTGTTTGTTTGTGGCGTTCACGGTGACTCTGGGCTTTGTTCAGTTGTGGTGTGTACGGAAGGTTTTGGGAAGGTTATTTTTAAAATGTATTCCCCTACAGATTACAGATTACATACACCAAAATGTAGTTTGTAACGGAATCCATTAAGTTACTTAAGGTGAGTAATGTAATCTGAATACTTTGGATTACTTGATTTGTTGTAGAGAAGCAAAGACTAGGATATCTTCACATAAGATGTTTTGTCTGCTAAAAGAAAATAAAAAAACGAGACTTTACTGAACCAAATAAAAAATATTATTGATAGAAGATGAGGAGACACAGTCAGACACAGCATGGTTTAATCCTGTTAAATCCTGTTTTAGACCTGGTTTAGTTCTGGTTTGGACCTGGTTTATTGTCCGGTGTGGAAGAGTGGAATTACGGAAAAAAAAAAAAAGAAAAAAAAAAGGGAATAGCCCAAAATGTAAAAACAGAAAAATACTGCTGTGTAATCCATTTATTTCAACAAAGTAAATGTAATCCAATTACCACTCACTGAAACCTAATTTGTACTCTGATTACGTAACTCCAGTACATGTAATCTGTTACTCCCCAACACTGTGTAGGGAGGGTGCTGTCTGTCGCTGGATTGTCGGCGTGTTCACAGTGACTCAGTTGTTCAGTCGTGTCTAGAAGTGACACATTGCAGTCGTCGCTTTTTCGGTTTGTTCCTCCGTTCCGTTCCTCGTCGGCGTGGAGTGATGAGTGTGTTTGTGGGTGTGTTTCTCTGTGCGGTTGCTGTCTGCTCCGTGTGTGTTTGTGTGTTCTGCGGGTGGTGCGGTTTTGTAGTTTACTGAAGTCGTGCTGGGACACCTGAGTGGATTCGTGTATAGTGCGCTCTGGATTGCGGGGCACGTGGTCGTTTCTTGATGGGGTTGGAGGCTTAAGAGCGCGTCTAATAGCCCGGAAAATACGGTAGGTGTTTAATGTGTGTGCGTGTGTTACCTTGACCATGGTGGAGACGGGATGCACGCGGCTCATGTTCTTGACGATGCTCTCGGTCAGATCAGCCACACTCAGACCGATGGCCCAGTTCGTGTAGCCCTTCAGCTTGATCACCTCATACGCACTACAGGACAAAAGAGGACAGCCGCTGACCACTGTGACCAACACCAGGGCAGAAAGAGCCTTGCCAGCAAGATGAATTCTCACAAACTCTTGAGAATCCATCCTTGCTTGCGATTGGCCCCATATCACTGACCAATCACAGAGCAGTTTGGGGGTAAGATAGCTCCGAACAAAGCAAAACAAACATGGCGTCGTAGACAAACGTACTTCTGTCTATTTTAGCAGAAACACAGACGATGCTTGTGTATTTGTGGACGGGGATAATGTCTGTGCTTTTCTCTCTTCAGCATGTAACAAAAGTTTTTCGCCTTGTTGTGATTCTTCGATCAATCAACATGCAGTATTTGTTTGAATCATCCAATTGTTGGTTCTGAACGCTGAACGATCGCTGTTCCAAATGATGAGTCTGTCCACAGAGCTCACATATCAGTCTGCTGAGAGAGACTGTGGAGACGTGTGTGTAGAGGCCGTTTTCTCCAGTTATGACTTTAATTTAATGAAAGGTTCTTATTATTATTTTAACTGGAAGAGAACGATCTTTTGGGTGTGAGGAGCCTGTACTTTAATCATCAGGTGTGGCAGCTCTTCGGTGGATTGCTTCCCTCTGTGGAATGTGTAGAACTACCTTTAGCTGTCAGTTAAGTAAAGTCTGGACATTGTTTTCATTCTCCATTGCACATGTTCAAGATATATATATGTATATACGAAGGTGCCCAGATGGAGGCGTCACAGTACCTGTCTACCACAGCCTTGTGCGTGGCCTTCCACTGTTCATGGTCTCCGTCTGTGCCGATGTCCGGGTTCAGCTTCTGCAGGTTAACCCCAGCCACGTTCGCTCCACTCCACACAGGAACTGAACCCACACACACAAAACAAAGCACATGAGACACAATGACCCACTCCACCCAGGAACTGAACTCAGACTTACTCCACACTTGAGAAAACCATGAAACCAGTCACCAGAGAACCTTCAGAACACTGGGAATGGTACAGGCACAGGTACTTTGGCAGTTTTTTGTTTGTTTTTCACTGGCAGTGTAGTATCCACCTTGGACTTGATGATTCATTACATAAAATAACGGTGGACATAATCACCTCACATCAGCAGTGCTCCACATACTGTCTCACCTCCTCAACTACTGGCAGCAGAGGGAATCACCATGGGGAAAATAAATCAACTAGGTAATGAGGAAGTAATGCAAAACAGTAATGCAAGGGATTTGATGACAGAAATGTTTAAAACGAGTCTGGCAGTGATTTATGAACGTGTAGGGCTTCTGTCTATGACATCACAATCCAGTGAAATTTGTTTGTTTCTTTTTGACAGAGGAAAATTAGTGGGAATGACACAAAATACAACTCCAGGAATGTTTTTAATGAGAGAACAAAAATTCTAACATAACTAAAAGCTCAAAAAATAAATTTAGCATAACATGTATCTTTAAAGGTGCATTGTGTAACTTTTCTAGTGGACGCTCCATCAAACACTTTTCGCCATGGAGATGTTATTGCGTTGTCTGGGATGTTTCACAGTGTGGTATTAAACTTTTCTATCTTCATGGAGACCAAACCAGACCAAGTTACAGGTCAGATCTGTGGAGAGGCGACCCCGCTCACAGTCAGAATGTCTGTTTTTAGGCATTTTTGAGCAGTAAAACCAGCTGTAATTGAATAAATGTAAGGTAAAGCTGTTTAATGACATATCCACAGAGACAAGCAGGCACTAAACCCCCAACCAAAAAGTGACATAGTGCACCTATAAGGTTGTGGTTTAGGTTCAGATTAGCTCAGTAGTGACATTGGTTAAGGCTAGGATCAGGCTCAGAGAAAAGAATGGAAGTCAATGAAGCATAAACATGAGTGTGTGTCCTCACCGCTCGTGTCCCCGTGCTCGCCCAGGACCCAGCCGTTGAAGGAGCTGGCGTGGATGCCCAGGCGCTCGGCCATCAGGAAGCGGAACCGCGCAGAGTCTAGGTTTGTGCCACTGCCGATGACACGGTGTTTGGGCAAACCACTCAGCTTCCAGGTCACATAGGTCAACACGTCCACTGCACACACATACACACACACACACACATACACACACACACAAAGACACACTTTAAAAATATGCTGGAAATGGAAGACAAATCATGTAAAATTAAAGAAAGCATCTGTGACCTCCAGATTGGATTACTGTAATGCACTTTATGTTGGTGTCAGTCAAAATGCACTTTGTCATTTGCAACGAGTCCAAAACTCAGCGGCTCAACTTTTAACTGGAACCCAGAAACACAGGAGCATCTCACCTATTTTAGCCTCTCTCCACTGGCTCCCAGTGTGCTTTAGAGTTGAGTTTAAAATTATGATATTTACTTTTAAATGTTTGCACGGCCTAGTGCCCTCCTGCCTCTCTGACCTAATCCACTCTTACACCTCAGGTCAGCAGACCAGCTCCAGCTCAACGTCCCAAAGACTAAACTTCGCTGGGCCTGAGCGTTTTCTGTTGCAGCTGCACGGCTGTGGAACTAGCTGCCATGACACATTCAGAATCTGTACCTGTTTTTAAACTCCTAAAAACATATATTTTTTCACAAGTTTTTAACAGTGAGGTGTACCTTTATTGTTGTTGAGTATCTTTTCTGTTTTTTTTTGTAATTGTATTTGTATTGTGTATTGTGTTGTACTGGAATTGTCCATCCATCCATTTTCTTTCGCTTATCTGGGGCCGAGTCACGGTTGGCAGCAGTTTAAGCAGAGACTCCAGCTCCTCCGGGAGGAGGTATCATACCAACTTTATAAATAAAGTTGGTATGATATGGTAAATACATGAATAACCTAAAATAGTTAAAGATCCAATGCTCATTTATTCCATGTATTTGAATAAAATGTCTTGCCCCAGTACAGTACATCAAATTATCTCATTTTATTGTTTGATAATCTGGAAGTATGCAGTTAGCATGATAGTTGTACCAGCAGTAGTCAAGGTAAGGGTTCCCAGTTCCTTGTGTCCTTGTGCGTTCTTCAGTGCACACAGACACTGGAGGAGAGCCGAGTCAAGTCTTGAATATCAATGTGTGTGTGAACGGACAAATGGACGTGAATCTAAATGAGAGTTCAACATGGCCTAAAATGGGACTAAATCAGTTTTCAGATGTAATCAGGCCACATATAATGTCATTCTGAACAATGATGCAACTGGAGGACAGCACCATGAACAGATTTGCCTCTAAATAAAACAAAAACTCACAACTGCACAGGGCCTTGTGTAGCAGTGGGGCAGTACACACACCACAGTTTGCGAAACACTGAATTAGACTGAAGAAAACATACAACCATCTGCAGTTTGTCTGTAATGTAGTATTACACACATAAGTGTATATTCATTAAACTCATACATTGTTTATTGCCACTGTCTTCCTCCTAAAGTCTCTTATGTTTGAGTTTATTTATTGCAGATAACAATTAACCACTGTCCTCAAACTCTCCATCTCTGCTCCTCTTCACTTTTCCCTGTGTCTGCAGACTTTGTGGAGAGTGCATGGCAGAGTCCCACCCCCAGGTCCCTAAACCTCAGGCCCAGGGTCCTGACTGGTGCAGAGATAAGCAAAGTGCTGCACTTAGTAAGACTTTTATAAATCCTGTAGTTTATAAATCAACCCTCTGAATGGTCAGTACATAAGCCCCAGCACCTGCAGGGTTTCTGTTTTCCACCTATTCACCTGGCTCCCCCTAGAGGCTCACTGTGAGGCTGCAGATCTAGCTACATGTGTGAAGTGTCACGTACCTGGACACCACTGTGTGTGGCAGTGTAAACAATGAAACCAAACACAAATCCAGGTCTGTTTGTGATGAGGAAACAGCATTATTACAGAGATCAGAAAATAGCCTGATATGGACCCTTTAAGATAAACTTAATTTAGACGACAGATATGTTGGTCGACTAAAACCACATCAACCAACTAAATGACTAAAGGCCTACAGCCCTAGAGCCCTAAAGCAGTGTCAGACCAGGGCTGGAAACCATGATGAGGGTGCTGTGGTTCATACCTGGGTTGGAGACCACTATGAGGGTGCAGTTAGGGCTGTACTTCATGATCTGGGGGATGATGGACTTGAAGACGTTGACGTTCCTCTGGACCAGGTTGAGGCGGCTCTCCCCCTCCTGCTGTCTGACCCCAGCAGTGACCACCACCAGGCGGGAGTTAGCTGTGACCGCATAGTCTGCAACACAGCACGGGCATGATCAGACTGAACTACCAGCACACACCTCCAATCACAAACACAAGTCCATTCTACAGGATGACCAGATTTTCTGTAAGGTCAAGTGAGCACTGAAGGATTTTAAACTATGATCTCCTCAGAGAATGCTAAAATGTAGTTAATGTTCCACTGTATGGCATTAAACCTTTATCTTGAATGTATTTGATTACACAAAGATATAGACCAGCAAATTGGTCTGCAGATTAAACTGGGTCGATATTTGCTTGACATTGCACAAAATAAGATTACGCTGCTCCATTTCGGCTTAGGAGCTAAACTGGATTGTGCTGGTCTAAAAATCATTTCTACTTTTTTCTCCTACTTCTATTTTATTATCATGAGACTATCTGCATTGGTCATGAAAAAAAAATAAAACAATATAGTGGTAGATATTATGTTACATTTCATTTCATACAAAGTGTTTTGGCAGTGAGTTACTTTGCGGTGCACAGACCTACATCAGAGTATCAGTGTTTTCAGGTGTCAGATCAGATCTGTACGAACATGAATTCGTGGGAGCTGGAGGCACCAGATGGTTCTGTCTCTGGAGCTTTTTTCAGTCGGATTAGTGTAAACCAGTGGTGCTCAATACGTCGATCGTGATCTACCAGTCGATCGCCAAGGTCGTGTGGGTAGATCGCCGTGTCTTGTCTCGGACTCGCGTTTGGACTCTGTCTTGTCTCTCACTCGAGGTCTGACACTCAACAAGTGTGATCATATTTCATTCCGGCCGCTGCTGTTGGTAATAAACTTGTAGCGTCTCAGTGCAGCCTGTGCGCTCATTTGAAACCCGCGGAGACTCTACGGCGCATTACAAACACACACGCTCCCTATGCACGGCTCGTCTGCGACAGCGTGTGCCCTCGTGTACCAGCGTGCATCACAGGGCAGGTTCAACTTCCTAAACATCCTACCTGTCCATCTGCCTCACGTCAGCACGCCGCCCCTCGCCTTTTCACGCTCTCGCTCCTTCCTGCGTACAGCCAACACAAGCCCCTCCCACAGTGCGGCTGATTAGAAGAGCAAGACCAAACGTGAAGCAAAAACCAGTCTAAATTTGTGTTCCAGTGTTGGCACAAAGCAGGTCTACAGCATAGAGCAGATCTACAGAACAGACCTACTGCCACATTTGGCTGAAGTTTGTCTAACAAAAGTGCACAAATGCATCTGTGTTTGTCACGATGTGCGTTTGGTTTGGTAAACGTGCAGAGGCTGGTAAATATCACTGCAAAACCAGAAAGAATGCAACTCCAGTTTGGAACTTTACAAAACAGGTTTAAAAATCTTCCTTCACTTTTTTCACAGTTTTGTGTAAAGTGCCAGAGGAAGTTCTCTTAAAGAAGTGGTTCTCAAACTGTGGGTGAGGGTCCAAAAAAGGGGCACAGAGTGTTTCAGTGCAGTTTGCTTGACTTTGTATTAGGTAGATCATTGTGACTTGGTCATTTTGTAAGTAGCTCACATGATGAAAAAGTGTGAACACCCCTGGTGCAAACGAACACTGCACCCACAACCAAAACGACTTGAATACAAACAAAGTGTGGACGGGGCCACAGTGACAGGAGCATATATCCATTATTCAGGCTTTAGCATTGGTTTAATAAGGAAAAATGTAACTGTAAAAACTGTAAAAACTATTCAGCTCTGGAAGGGTTAGGGTTAGGCTGGTTTGAGCACCAGCACATGAATGTTTCGACATCTGGAAAAAGAAATAGAAATGACCTAAAATGGCAGGGATGTTACACAATGGGGCTTTAAAGGGTAAAAATGTCCAGATGTCAGATTGTGGCTGTCAGATGCTCACTGATTGTTCTAGCTTGTCATGGGTGCTGTTTGGTTTCCTGTATGTGCTGAAGAACAGGAGGCCCACCTTTGTTTGCGCAGATCTTGGAGGTCTTGAGGAACAGGCTGCCGTGCTGAAGGTCCATCATCTCCCCTTTGAGACGGTCCTCCATAACATCCACCAGAGCCAGCTCGTCACACAGGTCCTGGCACACGCACACAGATGTAAGCCTGACATGTACAATATGTGCTTTAAACGAGACATATTTTACTTCTGTTTAGTATTTTTATTAAACTATCACATATATTTTGCATTGTACATTCTGTTCATTGTAATACTGATCTCAAACGGCCTCATAATAGAAATGCGTCCATTGACTTCCTGTTCAAAAATGCAAAACTGAGATAATATGTGAATAAGTCCTTGGTTTAAGTATTTCTCCTCACTTGAGTACATTTTGACAATCTTAAAACACAATTTGTGTTCTTTCCAGAGCAGTAGCATTTGTCTCCTCATTTCAGGGGAGAAAAAGACTTGTCATTGTCTTATTTGAAGTAAAAGAAGACATTTTGTGCTTCTTCTATTAGTGAATGTTATTTTAAGGCACAATTTTAAGCACTTCCAAACTGTTGATCCTTTTTCACAATGCATTTTCTAGTGGCATTTCATCTTAATAAGCAGTAGATTTTTTCTGTTTGATTGAAAAATACTGTGTTATGGTTGAAAAATACTTCTTACAAAAGTAACTGCATAGTACTGTGGTTCTGTGGTGCTGTGGTCCAAAGCAAGAAAAAGATCATGTGCAAAACATCTGTGACAAAAATAAGAATGTAGATTTGACTAGATTTGATTTGTGTTCATTTCAGAGTATGTTTGTGAGGAGCTGTTGGTGGTGGACGACTCACCCGGAGCAGGATGCTGATGGCACAGGCCATGCCCACCTGGCCCACCCCCACCACGGTCACCTTGTTACGGGGGAGCTCGGGGCCGCTGGAGGCCAGAGGACTGATCAGCTTCTCCATCACAGATGCCATGTTCTCAGCTGCAGACAGAGGGCGCTGTGGTTAAGGAGGCTCTATTGTCATGAGACTATTTATACAGCACCAGGCTATATTTAAATATTTATCTACCACCGTAGAACCACTGTGCCACAACATACCACACTGTACCACACTGTACCACACTGTACCACAACATACCACACTGTACTACACTGTACCACACCAAACCACACTGTACCACACTGTACCACACCGAACCACAACATACCACACTGTACCACACTGTACCACACCGAACCACAACATACCACACTGTACCACACTGTACCACACCGAACCACACTGTACCACACCAAACCACACTGTACCACACCGAACCACAACATACCACACTGTACCACAACGTACCACACCGAACCACACTGTACCACACCAAACCACACTGTACCACACCGAACCACAACATACCACAACGTACCACAACGTACCACACTGCACCACACTGTACCACACTGTACCACACTGTACCAAACCAAACCACAACATACCACAACGTACCACAACGTACCACACTGTACCACACTGTACCACACTGTACCAAACCAAACCACAACGTACCAAAACATACCACACTGTACCACACTGTACCACACTGTACCACACCGAACCACAACATACCACAACGTACCACAACGTACCACACTGTACCACACTGTACCACACTGTACCAAACCAAACCACAACGTACCAAAACATACCACACTGTACCACACTGTACCACACCGAACCACAACATACCACACTGTACCAAACCGTACCACACTGTACCACACTGTATATATATATAAGTTTCCATTTACTACCACATACACACACATACTATATATATGTATATATATATGTATAGCACAGGTGCAGCATGTGTGTGTTTGTGTTAGTAAATGGAAACTTGGCAACATCAAGGTCAGAGTGTCCTGTGGAGCCATGATGAGGGCCCCGTAAAGGGGAGGGGCCACACAGAGGGGAGGGGCCACACAGAGGGGGAGGGGCCACACAAGAGGGCAGAGGGTGTGAAAGGGGTGAGGTGAGCAGCTGCATTTTTGTTCATGTTTTTTCATTCTTGTTTTAGTGTGCATTTGTCTACAAAAGTTGGAGTTTCTGTGTTTAAAGCTACAGTATGGAACATTCTGGAGGTGGCACGAAACCCGCAAGAGTCCAGGGAAATACACAGTGGCGTTGTAATGACTCGGTGTCATGACTCAATGTTGTTATACATTCTACAAATTAATATTTAAAAAAAAATTATGTGTATATATATATATATATATATATATATATAATATATATATATATATATATATATATATATATATATATATATATATATATATATATATATATATATATATATATATATATATATATATATATATATATATATATATATATATATATATTTTTTTTTTTTTTACACTTACACTACACTGTGAGCAGTATTCATTCTACACTCTGTGCTGTAAGATATTACTGTAGCCACAGCTGCCCTGGGACAGACTGACAGAAGTGACTCTGCCAATCTGCACCATTGGACACATGTGATGGACACATGTGAGGGACACATGTGAGGGACACATGTGAGGGACACAGGTGAGGGACACATGTGAGGGACACATGTGAGGGACACATGTGAGGGACACAGGTGAGGGACACATATTCTTTTAACAATCTGCTGCCAGTGAAATCAGACAGGACCAAGGTAATAAAAATACATGCAAGACCATGTTACTATTCTGAGTACTTCTTATTATATTTGCTTTGGACTGAATACATTGAATACTTTGAATACATTGAATACTTCGAATACAATGAATACTTTGCAGGAAGAGTGAAAGGTTCCTAATAGTGCATGTGATTTAAAAATAAGTTTGAGCAAATCCAAATGTTCTTTATGATGATTCTTCATAGACCAGCTGTTCTGAAAAGTATACAGGTCCAAATTGTATTCACCAGTTGATTAAAAGTAGATATTTTGATTGTCAGTATTTTTAGACTGCACTCTAATATTTTTTGTAGTATTCTTCTTCTGTTCTGTTTCTTATGAGGATGACAGTTTTAGAATGATCTAAAGCTACAGTGTGTCACTTTATGTAAGGCTTTAACTTTCTATTTCCACTGAATCATGGCCTCCAGAAAGTTGCACACTGTGGCTTTAATATTGTGCTGCATATGAGTGATGAGTGTGAGTGATTCACTATGAGATCCTGTTGTGTGTGGTCCCAGACCTGACAGGTGACACTGTGACAGCAGTGGGCATCATGTACTGTACTGCACTGTACTGTACTGTACTGTACTGTACTATTACACAATACTACGAAAATGTGCTATTTAGAACTATGAAAGCATAAGAGTCATCTGTAATGATCTGCTGCTGCTGTCTGTAGTCCAGTACTAGTGAACTGCAGCTACTGAATATCTGAACATAATGGTGATAAACAGAGTATTACATCAGCTTATTTTTTTTTACACTTACACTACACTATGAGCAGTATTCATTCTACACTCTGTGCTGTAAGATACTGCTGTAGCCACAGCTGCCCTGGGACAGACTGACAGAAGTGACGCTGCCAATCTGCACCACAGGACACAAGTGAGGATACAGGTGAGGACACTACAAGTACTACTGCAGTACTACTACTCCAACTACTACACTCGCACTACTCTTGCTACTACACTACTACAGTCTGATCAGTGTACCCGAGTACTAGTACCCTGTAGGATGTTGAATATTTGACTTCCCGCACAATGGTAATAGACAAAGTATTAAGCAGGTTCACTACTACTACTACTAATACTACTACTACTACTACTACTACTACTACTACTACTACTACTACTACTACTACAAACTGGTCAGTGTACTAGTACCCACCACTTATTGAATATTTGATTTCCTTCACAATGGTGAGTATTAGACAGGCTTAGTTCTTTAGTACTACTACTAATACCACTACTACTCTTCTTACTACTACTATGAATATCACTGCTACTACTGCAGTGTAGTCCAGTACTAGTACTCAGCAGTAGTAGAGTATTTAACCTTCCACACAATAGTGACAGCCTAAGCTTTAGGAGGCTTATATAAGAGCAGGCAGGCCCCACTGTGCTTTGTGCTCTCAGCCAATGAGAGCAGCTCTTATCAGCGAGCTCTCCTCCAGCTCACACAGCAAACGCACCAAACATGGAGCTGTGGAGGAGACTCAAGAGCAAGTCCCTTGCAAGCTTTGTCCCATGCTTATCCAACATTCTGTCCAGTATTCTGAACAATAATCTGACCTCAAAGTACTGCACGTACCATATTGAAACAGCACAGAAATCTGGCAAAGTATGGCACTGAAAAAATACTTGAATACACCAGCCATGCAAACCCGCTCGCCTATTCTCCCAATTACAACCCAAAGCCAAACAAACAAAGCCCCACTGACCTGTGTGTGTTTTTGTGAATGCACGCGGGTCCTGAGTCTCCGGTCGGTCCTGGGGGTCCTGTGCAGTGTGAGCGAGCAGACTGTCGGAGAGATGGAGCCGAGATGGAGAGAGAGAGAGAGAGAGAGAGAGGACGGGGGAGGGGAGAGGGGGTGTGGTGCTTTCTCTCTCCTTACAGTCTGAACCTCTGAAGACACTAACCACTCAAATATAATCTGTTTTTCAACGGCTTTGATACTAAAATCTATATTTTGCCACAAATTCCAAAACCTGTGACTCACACTCACGAACTTAAATACATGTTCAAGCTTTGACCAGAGATGGGAAGAGGAGCCAAAAAAATTTTACTCAAGAAAGAGTCATTTAACAGTAAGTGTGATGTAAGTATGAGAGAAAATTTGAAGTGAATGTAATTTGAAGGACAAAATCTGGTGTTTTCAAAGGACAAACACAAAAATAAGACAAACTAAGACATATCTGACGCAGCTGCAAGAAACACAGATGTTCAAATCATTTCAGACTGTTACATAAAACTTTAGTCACTTTAGACTGACTCACAGTGGGAAGAGGAAGCACAGCTTTTTCCCAAGTAAAAGTACTGTTACTTCAATAAAAAATATGACTTAATTAGGAGTAAAAGTATGCTGCTAGAAAAGTACTGTGAACAATAGAATAAATGTAACTGAGTAAATGTAACTGAGTACTGCCCACCTCTGGTTAATGATGGTTATAAATGTGTTGATGTTTATATTTGAACCACAAAGTCTCCTTGTAAGACTATTTTCTGTTCAAACATGCTGACTTGTTTTGTGTTATGTGAATAGTTTTGTAAAGATTTGTTGCTGGTTTGAATATTGTAATAAGACAGAGATCGGGTCAAATACCGTGCAAATTCTATTCTCTGGCAACATGTTTTTGTCCTAATCAACTTTAAAGTCGCAAAGTATGTTATGTTCAAATGTAAACGGGCAAAGACAGAGTTCAGTCCTGGCTCATGGTAAAGCTGCACCGTGGCACTTTTTCTGGCAGCAGTTTTGAAACCTGTTTATCTCCATGGTGATGGTTTTGCATCACTTGAAATGATCCACAGTAACGCCCCACTGGCATTGCAAACTTAATCATCTCTGTGGAGATGAGCAGGTGTCAAAATATTTTAGCAATAAAAAACTCAAATGGAGTGAATGAAAGATTTCAGTTTAATGCTCCACTGTGGAATATTCCACCAATGTTTTAGACATGCTTTAATGGTCTAATAGTGCAGACTCACTCCCATAATCTGAGGGCTGCTTTAGTCCTTGCTTAAACCTGGTTTAGTTCTGTTTTAGACCTGGTTTAGACTTTGTTTAGATCTGGTTTAGTCCTGCTTTAGTCCTGGTTTAGACTTTGCTTAGACCTGGTTTAGTCCTGCTTTAGTCCTGGTTTAGACTTTGCTTAGACCTGCTTTAGTTCTGTTTTAGTCCTGCTTTAGCCCTGCTTAGACCTGGTTTAGTCCTCGTTTGACCTGGTTTAGACTTTGTTTAGACCTGGTTCAGTCCTAGTTGTTCTAACATTGTCTGAGATGTCATCCTGCTGTATATTTTCCAATCCTCTTTTGTATGGACAGAATTTATGGCAGCAGTAGTAGTAGTAGTAGTAGTAGTAGTAGCAGCAGCAGCAGCAGTAGTAGTAGTAGTAGTAGTAGTAGTAGCAGTAGTTTATTCAGTTATTTGTAGTGGCTTGAATAACACAAAAGTAGCACATGACTGCTGCTGTTTATGTTTCCACGGTGACCTTGCGCGCCCTTGTTTGGTCACGTTCTGCTTCCTGGCATTGTGTATAAAACATGAGGATGGAGCAGCGGAGGATGGACGTGCACGTGCAGTCGGTGTGCATGTGAGGAGGGGGCAGGGGCAGGGGTGCCGGGGGGCTTCTCACGTGGAGCTCCCATTGGCCCAGAGTGGAGGGGGCGTGGCTACAGGGGGCTTACATAACGCTCTCCATCTTCTGCTCCAACGCACACACACACACACACACACACACACAGGAGGAGAACACAGGAATGTCACAGTAACACAGAAAACACTATAAGAATAAAAAAGGAGAAACTGCTTTATTTTCTAGCTACAGATTCCTTTGGGTTTGGGTGGTGTATTGTAAAAGTGTTTGAACAAAATGTTTGAGAAGAGAAATGGCTAAAATAAAGAGCTGGTTTGATAAAATAAACAAAATAATTATCAGTGGCATAAAACTAAGACTTTGACTAACTTTACTGATGCACAAGGGAAATAATTTGGACACAGAAGTCCACATCACAATATAATATAATAACAAAAAGAAAAAATATAAATGGTGATAATAAATTCTAAATAAGTAGCAAAAAAGAGCAAGAGACAGGAGTCAAATGAGACATAATTATATAAATGTTAATGTACAGTAAAAATAAAACAGAAAGATAAGTAATAAAATATAAAATCTCAGCTTTATTCAAGAGGTCATAGACAAATGTGATTTTTGTGACAGAGTGTCCAAATGAACTGAGCCTCACAGCAAGAAGGCTTTGGGTTCAACTGGCGGGCCCCTCTGTGTGGAGTTTGCATGTTCTCTCTGTTTGTGTGGAGTTTGCATGTTCTCCCTGTTTGTGTGGAGTTTGCATGTTCTCCCTGTTTGTGTGGAGTTTGCATGTTCTGCCTATGTTTGTGTGGGTTTCTTCTGAGTGCTCTGGTCTCCAGCTGAGGGAGTCCTGACCCAGATTAGGTCAGGATCTGGAGACGGGTGAACAGACGCCCCAGCAGCCTGAAGGAGGGACACAATTCCCAGTGACCACAATACCAACCTTAAATGTTTGGTACAAATATATGAAGGTAAAATACAGTATGATGTCAGTATTGATCATTCAACTAAAATGAAATCTTCTGGGGATTATAATTGTATAATAAACTCATATGACAAGAAACAGAAGCACTGGGACTGAGGTAGTGTCTTTATGAAGTCAGACAGACCTGTAGAGGCCGTGCTGATGCTGTAGCTGCACTGGATTTCTCTGTAGCTCTTACGGGTCCCTGAGGACAGGAGAAGAAAAGGCCATTGTTGTGGCCCCTCACAAGGTTGTTGGTGGTGTCAGGTTATGGACTGGTTTGTACAGGGACACAAGCCTTTTTTTCCAATGGCACACTTCTGTTGGGGCCTTGGAGGGGGTCTGTGCGGGCTCCAGCACAGCTTCAGTGCTCTGTAAGACACTGACGTCAGCCAAGCATAACTCATGTCTTCTTTATTAATAACATTTAAATCATAAAAAGGCATTTAGTAATTCCTAGGTCTGTGAGGCGTGGCTAAATCTAAAGCTAATAAACACTAAACAACTTATCTCCAGGTTCACTTCTGTGCCCCTCTGCGTCTGGATCTCTCTCTATGTGATGCACTGGGCATGTGGATGTATTATGCTGTGGAAATATCAGATTACCAATATCAGAGCACGTCGGCTCAACATCACTAGAAATACAGAGGATTATCACAAGATCAAATCAACATTTGGTGAGAGATGAATATTTTATATTTGTTTCTGCTTTCTCTCTTGTCCAATCATCTGTTTGGTCATTTTAATTGCTCCTCAGTTAAACTGATTTAGGAGCTCATGGTACAGGCTGATACTGATCAAATAATAATAAAACTAATAATACATAGCTCTTTTATGGTCACTCAAAGACGCTTTACACAGCATTATTCATTCACTCCACATTTGATAGTGGTAATCTAATATTGTAGGCAAGGAAGTGAGAGGTGCCATTCTGCACCATCAACCCCTCCAACCACTTTCATACAAGTCAATGGGTGAAGTGCCTTGCCTAAGGACACAATGACACTGGTGCACTGGTGGTTGGGAATACCACTGTGGCACCTGGTATTCCCAAGGGGCTCCCATCCAAGTACTAACCTGGCCCAGCCCTGTTTAGCTTCTGAGATCAGATCAGGTTTTGACAAGAAGGTTTGGCCACAGGCAATAGGCAGCAGACACATTCCAAAGTGAACCAGTGGAAACGAGGCTATGCCAAAACCAGCATCCAGCACAGCCCGACCACAGATCATGTGGGAAGTAAATGCATGTTTCTTTTGGAGGTTAAGTGTCTTCACACTAACAAAAAGAATCAATATGGTGGCATCTGATTGGACAGTAGAAGAAAGAGAAGTGAGTGTTTGAGAGTTCACACACGTACAAGACATGTGTGCAATGATGTAGGACAGAGGGGAGGCTTAGACCAGCCCTGTGTCAGGGTGTGGTGAGTATTTTTAAATGACCTTACACAGTCATGTGGCTGCCTTTGCCCCTGCTTGAACCGCCACCTTAACATGTTGGAGGGGTCTTAGTGCGAATGATCCCGGGAACTATGTTGCTGGGGGGTTCGAGCCCCTGATAGGGTCACCCAAAGCAAACAGGTCCTGAGGGAAAGGTCAGACTAAGAGCAGCAGCAGCAGCAGAAGAAGAAGAAGAAACATGACACTGGAGTTATTACACAACCAAACATCTGGACACATGAGCCCTCAGGACACTGTGAGAGCATGGTCAGTCCAGTGTGTTGCAATCCAGTCTCTGCTTCTGTTGTGTTATATGGAATTAGAAAAATTGCTGATCTAAATAACTCATAAATGGTGTATATGGTGTGGTATATATTCCAATCCCTCTTGTATACTAGTGGGAGTCTGTGTGTGCAGGCCTGGGGTGGGTGCTCGACATCAAGCATCTGGTGGGTTGATTCTTCAGGCTGTGCTCGACCGGGCCCCATGGGGCTGTCCTCCCGTGGACCCACCACCCTCAGGAGGATCCATAAGGGGCCAGTGCAGAGAGATCTGGATGGCAGTAAAAGGCGGGGGCCTTGACGACCGGATATCTGAACCGTCCACAGGCTCCGGGGGTGGATGACATTGTCCCAAGTATCTCAATTCTCTGGATGTTGTGGGTCTTGGCTGACATGTCTCTGCAACATCGCGTGGCGGTCGGGGACAGTACCTCTGGACTGGCAAACTGGGGTGGTGTTCCCTCTGTATAAGAAGGGAGACTGGAGGGTGTGTTCCAACTACAGGGGAATCACACTCCTCAGTCTCCACGGTAAGGTCTATTCCAGGGTAGTGAAGAGGAGAATCCAACC